TCATTGACTAAATAGAAAATGTGTGAAGTATCGTTTTGATAATGTTAGTCATTTCAACTAATGGAAATGTTGTTCCTGTCAATAACTCAAATTCTCAACGATGCTCTCCTACAACTCTTTCTACACAACTTAAATAGATATATAGGACTTGAAGTAGTAAATTACGAGCAGTAATCCCTTATAATATATGAAAGTAGATTCATTTTATCTGTGCATCCAAGACAAATATGTAGCTATCAAGTGTAAGATACTTGCAATAAATGTATAAGTAGAATTTGTTGCAAGATGGTCAGGGTCAGGAAGAAACACCACACCCCCAATACTTATGGCCAGTTTGAGTTTCACTTCCAAGTATGTGTAATATACATGTCATTTATCTGACTAAAATGTTGTTTTCTCTTTTTCTCTGTTCCAGATATTTCCAGAATATCATACTACGCTGGTGAGTATCTATTTATTTTTGTTAAATACAGGCGAGGTATTGCTGAACGTCCTCTGAACTAACAATAGAGATTTGTGTGTGTGATGTGTAGGGCTGCACGATTTGGGGAAATAATCGAATTGCGATTTTTCTGACAGATATTGCGATTCTATTTGCGATATTTGTTTTTAAGCGACCCAACGGAAGTGTATTGTAAAATGCGGCCATATCTCCGGCTAGGAAGGTCGTATCAACATGCTCCCGTCTCTAGCACCCCCGCAGCCCGAGCTACGAGTGAAAGAATTAAACTTACATGAAACTTCCGTTGGGTTGCTTTAAAGTCAAGCTTCAGTTTAAGATTCACCCTGTAATAGATGTAGAACGTGTGATGGAGCATTACTAACCTGACTCAGATGCTTTGTTTCACCAAACCATCTAGGAAAGCTCCATTGGAAGCCATTTGGAAAAGTATTTCAAAAATACTTGGCAGGTGATTGGATCAATCTGTCTATCACCTACTATCATGGGCCACTTCTGATTGGTTAACAATGACTGGTACATGTGGAGCACAGCACTTCTGATTGGTGTGGATGACTGACACACAAGAAGAACAAAACAAAACAAAATCGCAGGCTTTGCGATTTGATAATTGCATCATTTCAAATCACGATTTCGATTTAAAATCGATTAATCGTTCAGCCCTAGTGATGTGTATGAGTTATTGCATCAACCTTAAAATGTAAAGGTTTCCTTTGCCCACTCATTGTATACAGCTTTGTTTTGCTGAATTTGCTCTCTAATGTAACTTTGATATGGACAGAAATATTGTCAACTACTTAATGGGAATGACACAGAATCCTTTCCGTTTGATTTTCATGGTCTAAGAGAGATGTATCCTTCTATTTCGTATTCACAAAGCATGATATTCTTTGGTATTAGTCTTGACTCACACCTAAAGAGGACTGCTAGGGTTAAATAATGTCAAGTATAGATAAGATCATTACCTCTAAGCACCAGTCTCTCTTCGTTGGTGTTGCTAGGTAACCGTTGATCCTATGTTTTCAAGGAGGATGTTGTATACCTCAGAAAAGAGAACTTGTCATTCCTGAAAAGGACAAACGCATATTTTACATTTCCTGACCTTAACTTTGGCAGAACTCCAGTGGGATACGTGTTGCCAAAGTTGAGGTTGAGGTTAACTGAAACTCATAATGAGATGCTGCTTTCTAACTTTGCTGACAAAATGACAGTAGCACGCCACACAGTGTACAGGTGACCGGGTCAACTGAACATCTGTAAACTGAACATACTCATTCTCAGTACTGCTGAAAGGATCACCAGCTCAGTTTTAGTGGAGAGCACACTGAACATAACATCCAGCTTCTGTATCTCTGTCATCATTTATATCATACAATCATTTTGTGTTGCATGATATGAAATATAAAGACAGAAGACAGATCAGACGGAGTTATAGCTCACAATTTAGCTGAACTCATAAGCACCATGCGGTTCAAATTCTAATGAAAACTAAGGCAAAATAACTGATATAAAAGACATACAAATAACAGCATAAATGTATTCAAGAGTGCTGTAGTTATTTTGTCCTGATCATTTTATATTGTCCATTTTTATGTTATTTTACACGAGTCCTCTTTGCACTCTCAATGCAGCTGGAGACAGACTGTAGCGGCCCTTTCTACCTGTATATAGAATACGCTAGTCCTCAAGGCCTGTTTTAAAGGCACAGTTTCTGAATACAGGCTTTGTGCATTTAGGTAACTTCCTAGTTTATATGTAGCAGCTAGACCTGCTTCATAACGAAAACAGGAGATCTCACTTAAAATGTAACCTTTAGTTAAACATGTTTCTAGAGCACATACAGTATGTCTGCATATTGGATGTTGGTCCACTTAAACAGGGTGGGCCACTCTTTATTTCCTGACGCAAGCAGACACTGGTTTCATTTATACCTGACCAAGATCCTTTAGGAGCATGAGGTTTTAATTATTAAATAACTGAATATATGCCTATATGCTCTATATTAGTTTGTGTCATGAATAAATCACAGCATGTTAGTTGTCAGTGTTTTCCCGCTGGAAGCTTAGCTAGAAAGCATGCACATTCATCTCATGCTCTGGCACATCAGAGGAATATAATGTCAGAGTGCTTTATTGAAGAGATGGCATGCTGCAGGAGAGCAGATGAAATGTGTTTGTAGAGGAGGAGAGACCACAGAGAGGCAGGACAGAGGGCAGCAGAGACCTGCCCACGGATAATACAAACAGAGGAGAAAGGGGAAGTGTTATTAGGGGTCATACAGTGGAATGTATGTTTTCAGTGGCTAAACATTAATCCTGGTAAAACCAAGTGTGTTGTTGTGTGTGTGTGTTGGTTTTGTGTTCATGCGGCTGTTTATTCAAGTTGGAGTGTTGATTAGCAGTGGTGTCCTATTAGCATATTTATAAGTCCTGTCCACTCGCCTTGCCTACTTTCCACAGCATTAAGTGTCAATTAGAATATGTTTTCCTCTAGTCTCCTTCTCTGCCCTACACACACACACACACACACACACACACACACACACACACACACACACACACACACACACACACACACACACACACACACACACACACACACACACACACACACACACACACACACACACACACACACACACACACACACACACACACACACACACACACCCTTGCTGCTTCTGCCTGTGAGCTAGCCGTGCAGCTTTTTCGCAGCGTGGTCACAGCAGCGTATACCGAAAACACAGCAGAGAAGAAGCACTTGGCACACACTCACTTTTTGATTTTGCGCACACACTTCTTCTGCTTTTTACAGACTTTCAACAAACACACATGCATGCAGTCGTCTACCTGCTTAGTCACATGCACACACACTCTTGTATACGTACAGCCTCTCTCTGGCTTTCACACATAACTCTCTCACTGTATAGCCTCTTTGGTGCACTTATCGCGACTGCTCAAGGTTTGCGCTGGATGTACTGTGTGTGTGTGTGTGTGTGTGTATTAGTGTGCGAGAGAGAGAGATTGGGATGTTGTGATCCAGTTCCCCTTTCCGCTGCTCCAGATGAAAGCCTTCGGAAGCCAGACTGAGCTACACACGGCTGAATGACTTTCAAAACGGATTTACTGCATCAATTTTTCTCCTCAAACCAAATCCTGCAACGTTATTTCCTCCACATAGTCGTTCTCCCTTCTTGCCTGGCTTTGCATCACAGCTTTTTTGGATCTTTACTTTTTATTTTTGTCTCTGTCCCTTTATGTCTCTCTCTGACATCAGACACCTGCTCTGACCTGGTTAACTCCTGCAGGCTCAGAGCATTGTGAGAAAGCTTTGGAGGATGCGAGGCTCAGCTTCTCCCTGGGGTTTCTCCACTTTCTCTTTTTATCCAGTTACCTTTATTTCTCCTTTTTCTTCTTGATCATTCTGTTCTTTTTCAACTCTTCTTTTAGTCTCTATCTTGTATTTCTTCATCCGTTTCCTCTTGCTTTCCTTTCTCCCTCCTGCGTCGGTCACTCTACCTACCTCTCCCTCACTTTGCTCCATTTCTCTACGCCCCTCTTTGCCCTACATTTTTGATCTCTTTTCTTCTCTGGTGCAAGTTTCTCTTTTCTTCTTACCATCTTCTTTGGACAACATTTTGGATTAACAGAACAAAACGACAACCTTTCTTGGAAAATGGTACTTTGATGTCATTACACAAAGTATTAGTTTGTCTGCAGTGTTTTGTAACCTGGATTTCTGACATACAATGCCGTACCATGTGACTTAAGATTGATGGCTGCAGGGAAGCCTCCTTCTTTGATTTTCACATCAAGGGCTGATTAATTGGATCAAAAGCTCCGCAACGAAGACCAGAATTTGATATTTTCTGAGGATTCATTGGACTGCAGGAGAGTCTAATTGGTAGAGCAATTCTCCCCCGGCCACAGAGAGCATGAATGTCTGTTTTGGGAAGCTTTTCTGCTGAAGTGTCCTCGAGCAACTTACTGAACCTTCTCCTCCCACCAAGGCTCTATCTCCTTGGAGTGAAGAAGGGAAAAAAATAACTTCCTAACAGAAATCGGTACATATCAAATTGCACAATGGTTTAGGTATTTTGCAGGGTTAAAGGTCATGACATGTATTGGACAGATTGATTACTAATACCTGGACGCAGAGCCACTTCCTCCAGTCCTGATGTAATAGGATGTTTCAGCAAGCTTTCGGAGAGAGTGACAGGAAGTCTTGTGATCACGATCTTGGATTACAGAACCAGATACTGCACTTCCAGCTTTATCATCACGCATTGGTTTGTCTTTTGTTGCAGACGAAGATTTGACTTGGTTGTTTTGGACGGATTCTCTGGATGTGAGAAGCTGAGTAATATTTGTATCGCTGTATTTAAATCTCTTTATCAACTGGACTTGGACCCTGGTGATTGCATGTAGTTGCTGCTCAAGCATAGAGAGTTACGGACTGGTATATTCTCTACCTCCTGTGGGGATACTTGCTGAGTCATCAGATTTTACAGTACAAAGGATATTTCACATCCTCTGTTTCCTCTTACTGGGCTCTTTTCTTCTCTAGAGTTACCTCGAGCCCCGGGACTCTGGCTTTGATTGATTTTTTCTCTATTGAGTTTCCTGTGGCTATCTTCTGAGGCGGCTAAAAGTTGCACACTGGATGATATCACCCCTCCAACAAATGACAGCCCAGTTACCAGCACAGCAGGACACCATTTCTAACTTTTTGGGGGATATTTTAGGATCCCATTTTTTGTTTTTCCTCACGTTATTCAACATTTCACAAAAGGACATTCTTATAGTAGCATAACGCCAGGTTAGGAGCCCGTCCTAGTCCCTGGCTCTATGCTGTTTTCGGAGCCCGACAGGTTTGTCTGGGCCCTGTGGCCGGACCTTAAACAGCCCCGCCTACAAAACAAATGGAGAACAGCGGCTGCATCCCTCTCTGCTGGAGCAAGGGGGCCTGCATCTACGCACAGCACCCCTTGCCAAGTATGTACGAATATCAAAAAAGAGTATCAATCAACACATCATATTATGTAACGACAAATACCATATGCAGTTAGATATGTGCTTCTGAATATAATGAAATCCTTTTGATTCAATACTACAAAGTATAAGATCCATATCATGTTTATCAAATATAAAATATTCCTTTACCTTCCTCTTTCTTTGTATCATTATTTGCAATTAAATAGAAAAGTCATCCTTGTGACTTCTCCATCTTGTTTACCCTCGCTCTCTCTACTTGGTAGCATTTCCTTATTCTGCTAAACATACTATGTATTGTCAGGCTGGCAGTATTTCATTTTCCTGAGTATGCTCTTTGATTTCTAAATCAGACAGATGTGGGCGTTTCCTCACCCTGGGAGTTTTGATCGCAACATTATGAAAATGCTTTAAAAGAGACTATCCACTGTCTATCATCATTTATGACAGATGAGGTCAGGTTAGGGTCATTAATAAAAACTCATTAATAATTTTGACTTCTTAAACTCTTTTTAACCAAATGAATGAACAAACGCACAGTGAAGAGCTGCATGACCTGCTGTCAGTCACAAGAATATACTTTTTATTTCCAAAGCCAGCCCATGAAGCGATGCAAAAACACTGCAAACTGTCCAATGATTGAGCGACTTGTTCATCAATGTAGCTTTTTTTATTTACAGCACTTGATAATATGCGTGAACATGAAATGTACTGAACTTTATCGCAAGAATCAATATTTGTTCGCTTTGGTTCAAGCCCAGTTCAACCCTACTGAACTGCTGTTGCTTTTCATCTGCCTGGGCTACAGTCGTACTAATGAGGTTGGTGAATGGGGACATGTTGGTTATAAGTTACCCTGGCAGCTCTGATGTCACTGGAACAGCGCAGAACACACACATGCGTACACCAACACACACTCTTTGTGCTAGTCCTTTGGGGTTTTTCTTTAGGCTCATAATGGAAAAGCATTGTATTTATATGGCTGTGACAGTCACATATTTATACAGATCTTTAGACTTTTTCTTCCCCGTCCCCTGGTATAGATAATGCGCATCGTTTGCAGAAGAGGGAAGAGAGAGTGTAGCAGTGTGGGGGAAGGGGGAGGGCAGAGGAAATTGTTGGAGGATGAGAGAAAGAGGAGAGGGAGGAAGGAAGAAAGATGGTTCAATAGCACAGGAGGATCAAATGGAGACGGAAAGCGGGAACTCAAAGGTCTATGAGCATTTGAGATGAGTGACTGGAGCAGATTAAGAGAGGGGAGAGAAAAGGGAGATGCAGATGAAGGGGGTAAAGGATGGAGAAAGAAGTATACAGGAGGTTTAGCATATGAGGCGGGGTAAAAAAACTAAAGCAGAAGACGAAGGCTTTTCAAAGAATAAAGATGGTGATGAATTTTGAAAAATTAGCAACAAAGGAAAATAGCAAGGGAATGGGATGACAGGGAAAAGACAGAGAGGAATAGGCTCCCCTAGGATTGGGCTAACCCCAGTAACCCAGATACCAGTTAGACTAGGAGATAAACCGTCCTTCTGCTGCTGCTACGGGACAGAGCTCAACTCCAGCCTTCTGTGGTTTCACAGGCTAACTGTCAGTAACCAGAGCCCCGCTGAGCAAGGGGGATGTGGGCCTGGCAGCCGCCTGCTCCCCTGCTTGCTGCCTGCATGGCCTAGTTGATTTGATTCCTCACTTTTTCTGTGTGTGAGGGCATGCATGTGAGGATTTAGTCATTTGAGAGGAATTGGTGCAGTGAGATATGGCTTCATTTGTCCCGTGCTGCTGTGTAGTGTTCCTATTTCAAAACAGTATTGTATGTGCTATGAGATCCATATTTTATATTGCCCCAAAACTGACAGGTAACTAATGGAAAGCATTTTGTTATATATATATATGCTGTTGATGGTCTATGCATGTTAATTGTTTGTTGTGATGGCTTAATGCACACTAATGCAGTGCTTAAAAGGGGCCATCTTTAAAAAACGTCCAGGTGTCAGACCTTTACATAATGGTTATGTAAGAAATTGATACTTTGGCTGTATGTTCACCCATTCAGTAACATATATTCAATACTTTTTTAAGATTTTCTTTGCAGACCGACAAACAAAATATAACATTTTCCCAATTTGCATGCATTCACACACTGGTTAGTAGCTGCAGTATTTAGGGGCGATGTTACTACAACCTCTTTTGATGGATGGTACTAAAACACGGTCAGTATGCTTTTCTAATAGGATTTCATCCAACTAGTATTTAGGTTAAGGTTACGTGTGTGTGATTTTGCGTCATTATTGTGTTATGTGTCAGTGTATGCAGTGGGGTGTTACAACTATTTAGTGCTTAAGATCTAATCTGATTACGCACCGACGGAGTGGGCAGTAGCAGATGGCTGACCGTGTTTTGTGACTTTTTGGCTCCTCTGGTGACACTGCTGCTATTTAAAAACGAGTTGCAGTTCAAATATTGTCCTCAATACATTTTTTTGTGTGGCCCTCGGAGACCAAGCACTACGGCTGGGTTTTGAACTAAGAGAGCTGCTGTTATAACAACCCAACATCCATAGGGCTTGTTTTCATATACATGTATCATTAACACCCAACAGTAGAGCAAACATTGGTGAACTGCATTTAAAGGACATTATTTTTAGTGTAAATGCTCATTTGTTCTCAGACAGTAACTGAAATGACATGACAATGGTACTTGATCAACATCAGAATATGATCAGTGTGTTGGCTATCTAATGTACGGGGGTAATGTGAGTTAAAGTTCACAAAGTTTTCTAATTTGAAGCATTCCCAACAACCTGTCCCTGCAACCTGTCTCTGCCTGTTTAAAAAGCTTAACATACTGTATCTGTAGCAATTGACAAAAGAGTGACCTGACTGATTTTCACTGCAAAACCCTGTTTATATGTTCATGATTGTGCAAAGAGCCAGTTTATTTCCAACTATTCCTAATGATGATAGATGTTATCATCATTTTTCATCCCAGGCTGATCTGTAGTCATTAGCATGGCGCCTGGTATTGTTACACTGAGATGATATGTTGGTTTTTGCAATGGGATTAGAGCAGCAGTGCACTGGGGATTGTAACAAACCACCTAATAATCCAGTAGTATCATGCCACAGTGGTATCATTATAATTGGATGGTGACAGTAAGACTGTGAGAGTGACATGTGTTTTCTGATCTTCACTAATCACTTGTGTTAAAGCCTTGAGGGTTAATAATGAAGAAAAGTAATGATACATAGGTTAGATTAGATTAAACCTATATATATTAATTCATTTATTTACAGTTGTGTGGATATGTAAAATAATGCTTGAAAAACAAAATAGCTATGAACAGCCGAAGTGGCGGCAGAGAGTCTAAGTTTAAGGAAACAACCTTCTGCACAGTTTCACACACACATTATTGATACAGCACATTTTTCCGAGAGAGTGCTGAGTCAAGTTATCAGATGCATAATGTCCTCCTTTACACTTCTGATGCAGTAATTGTGAGCACACACACACACACACAGAGTGTTACTTTGAAGAGGCAACTGTAGGTCAAGCTGTCAAAAGTGCTGAACAAACTATCCCAGGATCACTCTTCGTTTTTCAGTCCTTGCTTCTTTCTCCCTTTGTTCTCAGTGTGAAGTGATCTGACCGTGACCTGAACACAACACGGAAAAATGCTGAATGAAGTGATTTGTTGTTAACGGCAATGATTTTTGGGCTTGCTTCAGGCGGAAACAACCACGGTCGACAGTAACAATAACTGGAAACACATGTTTGTCAGCTGGATTCATTATCCCAGAATTAGTCACATGTAAATAAGCAGATCTTTCAACCCTGAATAACCCTATTTAGTTGTAAATTACAACCCAGTTATTGGAGATGAGCCATGAAATTAGTCACTCAATGGGATTTGATTTACTTGTGTCTCTTTTGTCACCACATTATGTAGCCAGCGTTCACAGTCAGCTGAAAGTCACTGTGGTGATGATGACTCAACAAAGCCTGCAGGGAAACCCAGGAAGTGACAGTATGACATGGGAAACAGCAGAGTGTGTGTCTCCACCAAGAATAAGATGTGTGGAGATGAACCTACACTAGAAACAACTGTTACAAGAGGGTGAATATGTGAAAGAAAAAGTCTGAGACAAAACAGAATTTAGTTTAAAAATAGTCCATTTCACTTTAGTATTATCCAGTGTCTGTATATAATCAAAATACGGGGAAAAGGTGTGCTGTTACTAAGAATTCTAAGGGTTTAATTGTTTAACTCCTTTTTTCTATTAAGCTTCTTGTGGTTTTATGTGTTTATCTTTCTATCATTATTAAGAATAATATAGTAAAGGTGCATCCTGCTTTGTTTTGTTCTTTTTCTTTATTTCAGGTGTACTAAGCTCTGTTTTCTCAGTTTATTCGGAGGGACTGTATAGTTTTAATTGTTGCAGTTGTGGGGGATCTATAGTAATGGGTTGTTAGATGTACAGTTGAGGCCTAAATTATTAGCCCCCCAGGAGTTATGGTACATTTTCCTAAGATTCTTCCCAATGTTTCCAGCATTGATAAAACTTGATATAATCAAACATTCACCAGTGAAGCGCTTGGAAATAGCAGTATAGCCTTCCCCCTTATCATGAGCCTCCACTATCTTCTTTCTGAGCTCAAGACTGATTTCCTTTGTCTTTGGCATGGTGAGTAGGAGTAGTAGTATAGTCCCTCTCAATAAGGTATTCAAGTGCCTGTTTCTTGGAGTCCTTTTATGCTGATTGAATGCTCAGGTGTGGCTTGAAAGCTGATTGGTTGATTAGGTGTGGTTTGAAAGCTGATTGATTGATTAGGTGTGGTTTGAAAGCAAAAATTCACATGGGGGCTAATATTTTTGACCAACCCATTTTTCACTATATTTGATATAAAGCAAGCCTAAAAACTTATTTTATTTCCCAAAATGTACCAAAAGCTACTAAATAGCACTGGTGAATGTTTGATTATATCAAGTTTTATCAATGCTGGAAACATTGGGAAGAATTTTAGGAAAATGTTCCATAACTCCTGGGGGGCTAATCATTTAGGCCTCAACTGTATGTTTGCTGGGGCTGTTGTGTTTTTATGTATGGACCGTAAGAAGAATAGGTGCTACAATAGTTGCTAAATAAACAACTACAGCCATTGAACAAAAGTATTTCCAGAAAAATGTACTAATCCTCATTCAGCAAACCTTATTGTGTCTGGCCATATTTGTATTAACCATCAGATTATAAACTCTAGCCTAGCAGCCATGCAACTCATTGAGAACAGTAGATATCCAGAGATTGTCGTATGGCTGTCGGCCATTTGCACTCTGCGTTGCATGTAGTACTGAATGACCAGTCCACTGACAGACTGGTTTACTAACTGGTGTTTGAGTGGCTTGTTGTTAAACTCGCTGCTTTACAAGACTGGCAGCCTGGTTGATTTAGCAGAAGCTTTTTCAGTCTGACACTGGGGATTTATTTATTTATTTAAACTAATCTGATTTATGCTGAGCTGTGAATCCATTTGGTCCTTCTAAAAAGGCCTTGTGTCAGTGTTTTGCTGGTTTGTATCGACTCTTCCCTGACTGAATGACTGACTGGTTGGTAGCCTCTCCTTCTACAGTTATTTGTTGATGTGTGATTACAGTCCTATTATCATGTCTCAACCTTGGATTTGTTTTTGAGTGAGTGTAGATTTGCGCAAGTTCTCTTTCATATCCTTATGACTATTAATGTAGCCTGATCTATGTCATAACAGATGTGCAGTCAGAATGACAGACTGGTGGTGAGTGAGAGGTTGTGAATGATTTACTGTCAGCTATTCTCTCAGCAATGTGTTCCAAGGGTTTAGTTAAGGACGTTTTCTTTATGTAAATGTTCTTAACCAGTTGGTTTTTATTGTCCTTGACTGAATTTATGTCGAGTGAGTAGCAAGATTACAGAATGCTCTAACTATGCAGTCAAATGTAATCTCTCTCCTCTCTCTTTTTCAGAATATGACGGCAAGTTAGCCCCTGCCGGAGCATCTGAGTCAGGCATGGCGTCGTCTTCCTACCTGGAACCAAACCTCAATCACTCGGCAGCGAGTGGCTGTGGGGTTAAATCCCGGTCTGGGATGCCTGGAGGTACGGGTGTTGGTACCAGCGGCCCGGCTGCAGGCCTTGAGCGGCCCACAGCCTCCATGGACCGGGTTCTGAAGATCTTCCATTATTTTGAAACAAACAGCGAACCGTGCACCTGGGCTAGTAATATCAGGCATGGAGATGCTACAGACGTCCGGGTAAGTCAAACAAACATGTTGTACATTTGTAGCTCTCCATCATCATCTTTTCCCTGATGCTTCCTTGTTTCTTTGTCTCAAACTGTCTCTTGTTTCAACAGGGTGTTATCCAGAAGATAGCAGAGATCCACAAATTGCGCTGTGTGTCCTCTCTGGGCCTCCGTCTCAGCCATCTGCACTCTGATGCTCTCCATTGGTTACACCCTGATTTAGGCGTGTGTCACGTCAGGGAGAAATATGAGAAACAGCACCCCCAGGAGGAGTGGAGGTAGAATTACAACAAAAAGCAATGTTTAGCCCTCACTGTCTGCTCCCACTACTTGTCTGCCATTTCTTCAATTGTTTTTCTGTTACCATAAGGCATACTAAAGCTAGCTGTGATTGAGGTTCCAGATTATTAAGTGAGCTCCCTTCATCCTTAATGTTGTGCTAATATGTAGCAACAGGCCAAAAAACATAACATTATTTTCTTCTCCTCCAAGGCGCATTATTAATACAAACATGTCATCTTTATAAATGCCCCATTGGGCTGTAAAGGGCCACCACTTGTTTAAGCTACACAACTTCCAACCAAGAGTATTTGTAATCCTCCCTTAAAAGCTACAGCTACATAACATATGGCCCCAATGAAACGACTTTATGGCTTCAATAAACCTGAATCATACTTATGTGATCGCCTGTACACAGGCAGTAATAAAAGTAACAACAAAGTCTTTCATATTGCTCACTTTTACCACCGTCCTTGTCTTTCTTGAGATTCAGAAGTCTCAATATAATGGGTTTTTCCACACTCATTCACATGATGGATGATGTTTATCTAAATTTGAATGGTCAATTACATAACTTTCATGCAGTGAGTAGTTGTTGCTGGTGTATTTGTTGTATTTTTTCCCTATAAACTATCATTTATAGAGCCTTATTCTATCCCTTTATTTGATACAGTAGCCCAATAAGCCATGTAGGGATGATTTGCCCTGTTTGATGAAGGGGGTTAAGCTGCTTGTTATTTGAAAGCTGCTTTGTCTGTTTTCGTCCTACACGCAAACTATGCTGGCTCTTGGCCATCTTCAGTTGTCACAGCTCTCTTTACAATTCAGTCTTTTGTCCTGCAGTCTATTTCTTACACCCAAAGTCATTAAAATTGAAATGAGTTCAATATGAAGGGGTTGTTCACACGGCTAACATGCAGCGGAGCAGCTCTGCCAGTTGTTGCAACTTTGCCTCAGACGGCTGCAGAGCTGCGAGCCCACAGGAGCTTCTGCTGCTGCCGAGCTATTGTTAGATCAGCAGAAGTAGCCCAGGGGATGGACTGACTCTCTCCCCGATCTCTCGCTCCCTCGCGTGTTTTCTCTAGTGTCTCGTGCGCTCGCAGTCACACTCGTTTTTCCCTTTGATGTTTCCCTCTATCCTTCTTTCTCTCATCTCTCACATCTGTCCTTTCTTTCTTATCCAGCTCTCTCTTTTCTCTCAAACACGCACTGTTTTATCCCTTCTCACACTCTTTTTGGTTCATTCATTATAGAACGAGGATGTTTTATTCATTTTGTCTTCAGCCTTGATTTCCTTTGTTATCTAACAGTCCTGTCCCATCACAGCAGCTTGAAGCTCAACTCTCCTGACCCATTTCTCTCCGCTGTAGTCACTGCAATATGCCAGTCATAAAATAATATATCACTATAAACTATGATGGCCCATCTGGGTACTTCTGGGGCACAGATAACTGGCAAGTGTAACACGAGGAATGGCATTCTGCTTTATGACATTACAAGGTTATCACTTTCAGTTAGTTCACTGTCAGCTAAATATGAAATCCTGTCTTACAGTTCCACTAGACAGATATACGGTGCATAGGAAGGGCAACTTTCAGTTTCAACTGTTTCAAGCCCAGTGTTGGCAAACAGCCACGCTGCCGAGGTGACTTTGAGCAAGAAATTGAATCTACTGCTCCTTTGGTGCTATTATGTAGCCAACACATACTTTAAACCCAAGCAAGTGATTAAGAGAAAAGAGCAAGAAGCAAACTCGTCAGGGCCACAATGTGTGCATTACAATGACTCAAGATCTGTATATAGCAGAGCTGTGTGATAAAGCTAAAACTCTTTTTTTTGGTTTGTTTTAAAGCCTTACGTTATGCAAGATATAGTATTTTCCTAATCTCTAGATTTTTCGAATCAGGACTACGTTGTAGATTCTGTGATATCCTCTCAGATATCTGTTTGTCATCCAAGTCTTTTACATTGGCAAGTCAGATGCACAAATATTTAAGTGTTCTGTTTTCAAATGCTCCAGGCTTACCTGTTTTTAAACATTCAAAAATGATGTGGTACATTTTCTGTCACATTATAATATTGGAAAATGCTCAATCCAACTTTTAGAATTTTTTTTTAAAGTGAAGGTTGTTTTGTGTGCAAGTGAATAACACTGTGCTTATATAAGTGAGGCTCCAGGTTGTTTAGGCCTTTCATTCTCGGCCAAAGTGGGGGTTTAACATTTATTTAGGTCTGTATGCGTCATCTGTATGTACGAGTGATTATGTTCGTTCTTGCTCGAGGCCTCCAACAGCCACTGAATTTAAATGCTGCAGGTTATTTTCTCTCTCTGTGGGTGTGCGGGCTGACTGTATGGTTATTTTAGCCAAAATTGTCTCTGTCGTTTTCAGGTATGAGTTGCGGATGCGGTACCTTCCTAAAGGTTACCTCAGTCATTTCTCGGAAGACAAACCCTCTCTTAACTACCTCTATCACCAGGTGAGGCAACATGGCAGGATCACGTAAAAAAGATGAGATAGAAAGGTGTCCTCTTTATGAAATAATATTAACCAGTAAAAAATAGAAAAAATCTGCTCTGTCACTTCCTCCTTATCGCTTTTACATCTAACAAGGCAGACATACCTTGATACATGTAACTTAAAAACCCATTTCATTCTGCTCTCACATGAGTCTGTACGACTTTGTCCTAACACCATTGTTGTTATTAAACATTGCTCTGTTCCACTGTTTCTCTCCAGGTAAAAAGTGACTACATGCACCATATAGCTGATCAGGTGGATCAAGATGTAGCTCTAAAACTGGGCTGCTTGGAAATTAGGTGAGAACATACTGTACCAACAATAGCTGTTATGCCAACAGCATGAGAAAATCAACACAATTATTCTGTGGACTTAAACAAACATTGACTATTAGTCACTGCGTATATCAGAAAAGCTTTCCAGAATATCTGAACTTAAATTCAATCTATAGATGACCATTTAATACCGTTTCCCCTTTTCTCTCTGAATCCTACAGGAGGTTCTTCAGAGAGATGCCAGGCAACGCCCTAGACAAGAAATCCAATTATGAACTACTAGAGTAAGATGTCATTCGGTTCAAACTGAAGAAATTGTGTGATGGTAGATTTTACCTATTCAAAGTTAAATGTTATTCTTTTATCTTTTAGGAAAGACGTTGGCTTAAGAAGGTTCTTCCCCAAAAGCCTGTTGGACTCCCTAAAGGTGAGGTTAAACTACTGTCGGTGTATTTAACAGAATTAGTGACTTAAACTGGACATGGCCTCTCATTTAAATTACATTTCCATATGGCAGAAGTGACCGTGTTGAAATGTCTTGTGAATCCCAGCCTGGCTTAGTCGGCTGGATGAGCTAATGGCTGTTTGACTGAGCGACCGGCTGAGTGACAGCCAGATCTTGATGACTGAGTGGATGTCTGGCCGATTGTCAGATAATCTCATCGTATTGAATTAGTTAAACGTCCTGTTGTCACTCCCAGTGTCCGTTTTCTTGGCTCTGCATCAACTTCCTCCCAGAAAGACTTAACCTTTGTTGTTTTTTTGCTCCCTCTCTCTCAGGCGAAGACTCTTCGTAAGCAGATCCAACAAACCTTTAAGCAGTTTGCTAACCTCAACGATGAGCAGAGCATCCACAAGTTCTTTGAGATACTCTCTCCCATCTACCGCTTCGACAAGGAGTGCTTCAAATGTGCTTTGGGGGTAGGGCAACACTCCGTTCATAAAGACATTTTTTTTTTTTTTTTTTTTTATTTAACCTTTATTTAACCAGATAAAAAACATTGAGATAAAATCTCATTTTCAATGCTGACCTGGCCAAGAAGGCAGCAACGTTACACATAACACATAACACAAACATATAAAATACAGAGAACATAAAGAAAACAAAAGACGAAAAAGCAGTCACTACATTGTGCACATTAGGACAATAAAAAAAGTAGACTACTTGTTACTGCAAGAGCAGCTGGTGGTGAGGACTTCAGACAACTTCAATTTAAAACATGAAATAGAGACAAGTGCCCTCAGTTTAAGGCGTGATTGAAGGTCATTCCAAGACCAAGGACCATAATAAGAAAGACTCCTTTTTCCAGCCTCAGTCCGTACAGTAGGAACCTGGAACCGTATCCAGGCACTGGATCTGAGTTTGTAAGAGTCACAAACTGGAGCAAATCTGACACATATGTAGAGTGGAAGCTTACCTAAAATGGCTTTATACATTAATAAAAACCAGTGCTGCATCCTACGCATACTAAGTGAGGACCATCCAGTTAGGCTATACAGTGTGCAATGATGAGTCCTATAGGGTGCATTTGATATATAACGCAGTGCAGCATGGTAAAGTGGGTCAAGTTTGGCCAAAACAGTGGGACAGGCAAATCTATAAATGGTATCACCGTAGTCCAGCTGGGACAGGAATAAGCCAGAGACCAACCTTTTACGGGATGAAATTGAAAAACAACATTTAAATCTGAAAAGGAAGCCAAGAGTGAATTTCAATTTCTTTGTTAAAACTTCAATATGGTGTTTAAAGTTCAGATTACTGTCCAACCAAAAGCCCAGATATTTGTAGGTATCAACAAATTCAACAGAAACGCCATCAAGGGTGTCAATGGAGAGGCAAGAGGAGGACGCTGACTTGGGAGCAAAAAGCATTGCTTTGGTTTTCTTACTGTTCAATAGCAGTTTAGAATCAAGAAGCGCATGCTGCAGCGGGATAAAATCTGATTTTAAATTGGAAACGGCCATATCCAGAGAAGGAGCACACGAGTATACAATAGTGTCATCAGCATACATATGATAGGTAGAAAATTGCATCTGATTACAAATAGTGTTTACATATAATGAAAAGAGCAAGGGCCCCAAGATAGAGCCCTGTGGAACTCCCTTCTCCAAGGTGACAGGGTCAGAGACAGTACTACCCAACCTGACGCATTGAGTGCGGTCGGTTAGATAACTCTGAAACCAGCAAATGGCATTGTGACCGAAACGAGACACCAACATAACATTAGACATAATGTGGTGATCTACAGTGTCAAATGCTTTGGCTAGGTCAATAAACAATGCAACACAAACTGATTTCTTATCCAAAGCAGCCTTAATATCGTCTAAGACTTTCAGACTGGCAGTCACAGTACTGTGCTTTGATCTGAATCCAGATTGCATAGGGTTAAGGATGTTGTGTGAATTTAAAAAAAGTTTTAGCTGAGTAGAAACAAGGGACTCAAGAATCTTTGATAACACAGAAAGATTTGAGATAGGACGATAGTTATTCAACTCCGTGGGATCACCAGCTTTCAAGAGGGGCGATACCAGAGCTTGCTTCCACACAGCTGGCAGTGTGTGAGTGGACAGGGAGAGATTAAAAATATCAGTTACTGGTTGTGCTATAATCTGAGCTGCAATTTTTAAAAAGAACGGGTCAAGGCCGTCAGGCCCGGCAGACTTTTTAGGATCAATCGAGTGCAAACCCTGTAAGACTTCAGAGACCGAGAAATAAGCTAAATCAAAAACAGGGGAGTTCAACTCTTGACTATGGCTGTGAGTACGACCATTTAGAGAGTCATGACTTTGCTCATCAAAAATGTGACCAGCCTTTTTGAAGTGAGCATTAAAGGCATTAGACATACCATCTGAATCTGAAATAAAAGAATCATTGACCTTCAGTTTTTGTGGGAAACTAGAAACCTTCTTGTTCTGAAGTGATTTAATTGTTTTCCAGAATTTGGAATGGTCATTAAAACAATCAGTGGTTAAGCTCAGATAGTAATCAGCTTTAGCTTTTTTAATAAGGGCAGAACATTTATTTCTGAGGACACGAAAAAGAAGCCAGTCATCACTAGTGTTAGACTTTCTAGCTAAGGACCATTGCTTATTTCGATCATGAATGAGATCAGATAGTTCTCTAGTAAACCATGGAGTGTTCCTATTCTTAACTCTGAATTTTCTAAGGGGGGCATGTCTATTAATAATCGATAAAAAGTGATCAATAAAAAATTGGACGGCAACATCAACAGATGGAATTAACGCTGTGAAGTGCCATTTAACCTCCGCCAGATCGTGTAGGAAAGCCTGCTCAGAGAATGTAAAGATAAATGGTGGGATCCGTTCATACATTTTCCATACCTGAAAATTCACTCTCAGTCAGGAGGGTTAAGCCTATTAAAAATTCACAGGGTAGAAATATCTAAAGTGGAAAGTCATTTTTTATTTAGATTGCTTGTCAGAACCATACAAAGAGAGGTTAGCAATTGTGTTTTCTGCATTTGTCCCACAGTCCAGTGTTCTTATTATACTTTTCTCTACAGCAATGCATTATCACTGTCCTCTGCATAATGCAAACCCTTCTCTGTCCTAGAGGGAATATAATGGTAAAAGTACTTAAAACAGAAGAGAACGTTAAAATAGTTCTATGCTATCAATATTACATTTGTGCAAGTACTTAAAAAAGCAGTTGATATGATGAAATGTGACATCTCTTTTAATGCTGTATTCTTCCATCTGTTTTTATTTCTCCCCCTCTAGTCTAGTTGGGTAATATCGGTAGAGTTAGCTATCGGACCAGAAGAAGGAATCAGCTACCTCACAGATAAGGGCTCAATGGTAAGTATTTACTTAAGATATGACTCATCTCACAAGGTCATCCTCAGTTTAGGTTTATTCTTTTGAGATTTCATTTTTTCCAGCAAAGACATGATCGAGTTCCGTTCTTTCTTCACTATTTCATACTGCATTGGTGTTGAATGCTAACTACTGCTTTAGGCATACTTGTAATTTGAAGGCCAGAGTGGCAATCCACCATACTGCCATCTACTGGTTTTCAGCTACAGGGGACCGAGTTCTCTTCACCCTTGTTCGAGTTGAAATGACTCTGTAAATGAATCCATTAAAGCCATATGTTTGAGCACCTGGGGACATGATTACACATATACACAACCTCATTAAGGATGTGCTTGGTACAGGGATGAAGGAAGCAGCTGCACACCTGTAAATCCAGTGCTGACATTGAGTTATTAAAATTCTACTTAATGATAACTGTCCGTCAACATATCTAGAATGAATTAAGTTGATTATTGCATGATAATTAAACAGAGCTCGTACTGTTTGACCTTTTATAAACACATTGAAACTTGGTGACATTTTCTTCCTCATGCTCAGTGTTAGAAATGTATAAATTCTGTGGTTGCTATTGTTGTGTGTAAAAATAGAAATACATGACCAACTGGTAAAAAATATGTATACAGTTCTTTGAGTAGATAATGTCCACTGAGCTGAATAAAGGGCAGCATGATTTTATGGAAAGTTGTACCTTATTGATTTGTATTTATGTCTTTATGTATTTGTCTTTGTTTCAGCAGCCAACACATTTAGCTAACTTCAACCAGGTGCAGTCCATCCAGTACTCTCCTTTGGAAGAGAAGGACAGGAAAGGCATGTTGCAGCTCAACGTAGCAGGAGCGCCAGAGGTGAACACACACACACACACCTTACATAGTATTATTGCATTGTCTATTTGGATATAGGGTTTGCAGTTATACCTCGTGCTGTATTACATTTGTTGATAAATGTCCCTTTTTTTTACATGAAGGAGATTCTACTTTGTTAAACATTGTTTTCTAATGAGTAGTAATAAACATTCTACAAGAAAACCTCAAAAGGATGTAGAAAAGAGGGAAACATCACCCAGTAGGGTGAAGCGGGTGTTGCCATCTGCACTTGAGTGTCAGTGTGAGTGTGTTGTCAGGATTGAGTGTGTGCCTTGCAGCAGGCCTTACTAGTGGAGAAGCATGTGTGCCTCAGTGCAAGAGTGTCTGTGTAAGGATGTGTGTGAGTGCGTAGAAGACTGAGTGTGTGTGTGTGTACTGGTAGACGTTATCCCTAATAAAGCTCTCATTGTGTCACTGTGAAGAAACGCTCTGTCCCACTAATCCCGAGTGTGTATTTGTGTGCGTGAAGCCCCTCACAGTCACAACGGCATCGCTGACTACGGCAGAAAACATGGCTGACTTGATTGACGGCTACTGTCGGCTCGTCTCCTTAACTTCTCACTCTTTCATCGTCAGAGTCCACAAAGGTAGGACGCACAACTCCTCTTACATATCGTTTTGCAGTAACATGATGATTGTGATTATTTTTATGTTTACGATTGGTAATAATATCGTGAAGCAAAGAAAAATGTCTGTGTACTATAAATAGTATTCTGGTTTGCTGTCAGCCGTCTTTCAAACAGTATACAAGTCATATTGCGGCTGATGAGGCTTTACACATGTCACTTTGAATAACCAGCAGATGTTAAGCTAGGGCTTCTATAAATAGCTATGGCTACAAAGAAATGGCTGCGGTGATGTCCTGGATCTAATGAATGTTTTTATTTTGTTTCTGCAGAGGGGGACAGAGCCCTGCCATCCATCCCCAAGTAAGTCACCAGACTCATTTTGTTACATCAGTTGCTTTATCAATAATCAATAAGGCGTCAGTTTCCTGAGAAACACAAAACATGAAGTCAATGTTCAGGTGGTGCATTAGAAAACATCCAGAATATGAATGGGAATCTGTGGAGACATTAGTATTTTCTTTTTATTCCACGGCCCGAGTCCAGACCAGCATTTAAAAAAATTAAAATGTTAGGACATTTAGTTCACCTTCAGTATAGTGAAGGGAATTTCCTTTATAAGAAATAGACACTTTTTGTCCTTAATTGTCTGATCTTCTACATTGTCAAGTTACACACATGACAGGATGTGAAAGAGCTCTCATTCCTCTGCTTGTATCTACTATAGCTGCAACTGTATACTTTATGTTTTGGTTAACATAAGTCCAAAAACTGATTTTCTCATCTCTTGTTCAGAGTTTCAAATCATGAGAGGCGGATGGAAAAGCGGATGGAAGGAGTACGGACCCGAGCTGTTTGTGTCTCAGGTATAAATGCTTGTCCCGCTTTCTCCTTTCCTGTTGGTCTGTTTTTCCCCTGTCGATTTTCCTGTCTGTCTTCTGCTCTAAATGTCAGGAATGACAGTGACAAGCAGTCAGATAAAGGCCACATAGATATGCATGCTGCTCCCTCTATAAAGCCTCATCTGTGTGTGCAGTGAAGAGTCCTTGTCTCGCCAGATGTCCCCATGGAGAGCTTTAGTCACTGTCTCTTCCTCTGACTGCCTACTGACCTCTGACTAACTCAACGTTACACACAGTTAAATGAAAAAGACCATAGCACTAGCTATAGCACTGAGTTAATAAATCATATCACTGCTAACTAACTAACTGACCTTTTTCTCATACATTTTAACAATAAAACTAATACTTTCTTTCCCCCTGTGTGTATTTCATGCTGCTTCTGCAGGTCAGACTAGTGGCGATGGTAAACACTCTTTCTATTAACCCGATTTAGTGACTCAATAGTATTTTGAGCCTACTGTATGTGCGTACTATATCTCTGTAGCCTGTAACTGTTTCAGCCTTATCCATGACTCAACCTGTTATTCTGTAACTTGTTTCTGTGGAAAGAATGACTTTTCCATCCCTCCCCTTTCCTCTTTTCTGTCCCTCTCTCTCTGTTGTACTCTTCTGTCCTACATTCTCACTCTGGCTGTTTTATAGTACATGCATTTTGAAATTGCTGTTAATGTGTTTGGATTTGGGCATATTGAGGATCTTTTGGAAAGGTACATCTGTGTGATGATGGTTACTTTTGCCTTTTTCACTCATTTTTTGTATGTGTTCACAGAGCTTCCTGAGTTGGTTTATGTTTTGTCTGATAGCTTTCAAGTAGTTATTAAGAATCTGTCCAGATGGCTCAGCATGTTAAATCAAAGTGTAGTGTCATTTGTAAGCTTGTTGGCAACTCTATCTCTGTTATTATTTTTATTTAGTTTAACCAACTTAGACTAAATGTTCCTCTGTTCTTTTATTCCCTCACCCCTTTGTTCTGTAGAAACGGACGACTATGCTGAAATCATAGATGAAGAGGACACCTATACCATGCCTTCAAGTAAGTACACACACACACACACACACACACACACACACACACACACACACACACACACACACACACACACACACACACACACACACACACACACACACACACACACACAACATTGTAGGCAGCTGGTGTTGAGAAAAAACACCCCTGGTCATCATTGTGCACCTGTTGGACCTCTTGAGACATGCGAGAATGGGTAGAGAGTGAAAGTGAGCGATATCTCAGGACATGAATTTGTGTGTCTGTGTTTGTGAAAAGAGATTATGTATGCATGTTTTATCAGGCATTTCCTCGTGGTTGTTAATATTCAATCAAAACATCTTCCACTGACAAGGAAACACGATAACTAATCTTTTATTCAATCAAGTGATTAGCGTTACAACTGTAGTGCAACCGGATATACATTATTCAGAGTATAAAGAGTATCCTGAAATACTTTAAATGAGCTGTTCAAAATGTTTCATCATACTCCACATTACTGGTGGATCTAATGATAAGTTGGACCTAATTATAAATCTATTCACACTTTAGCTATAAATTATGCTCTTTAGATTGGTGTATAAAGGGATGGCAGGCAAGATAATGACAGACGCTTGAATGAATGAACATTTTCCGTGGTCACATGTAGCTATCTTATACAAAAGAGGAAACCACTTGAATCACATTTTGCTTCATATTAATAGGTCTGCAAACTGTATTTGTGTCAGTGAGATGTCTCGGCTTCCTCAAACTGCTTTGAGATATTATCCCGCTGCTATGTTTACGGTACAGTAAACATTTTCTCACAGGCTCCGTCTCCTGCTATTCACCTTTTTAAGATAAGTGTTCATCTCGACAGCTACAACGTAGAGTTGTATTTGGCGTTAAAGGGATAGCTTGGGTCTTTTGAAGTGGGGTCTCTGCATTTTTGCGGAAAATGGGATTATGTATGAGAGTACACATTAAGAGGGCCTGCTGTGCTGCTGTTGCTGCCATGTGGAGCCTGCCCACCAGGTTTAGGATTTTTCATATTAAGCTCACCGAAACGCTGAGAGGTGATGCTAAAAAGGCAACATTCGCAGGCAGAGGAGATTTAACACATTAATGTATGACCGAAAAGGAGCTGGGATGTTAACTGCCTTAAAATGTTGCCTGGCTATCACGAGCTTAAGTTGATACATGCAAGCAAAATATCAACATGGCTTTGCTTTTTGTCCATTCATAAATTATAGCTTTCACCAAAGCCCTGTGGGCAGATGTAAACTCACAAACACAGAACAAGCAAGTCGAAACAGAAAACAGCTAAATGTGTTCTCTACACAGCACTGTGTCCATGATATTTACTAGTTTGATAAACATGTTGAATGGATTCATTTAGATAAACAAATGGCTGATTTAGTTAAAAGTTATCTAATTTATTAAATACACTCAAACACACATAAGTCAGCCAAGGTAACGTTAAGCTGTTCATGTCTCGACTCAGGGTGGCAGTATCCGTATTGGTAAACCACAGGTTGCCATCAAATTTAAAGGAGGTCCTTTTGGGGTTAAAGTTGGGTTTGTATGATAAAACACAGCTAGGGGTGACTGAGGGTGTGCGTGTTTGTTGCTAGCTATTTTTCTTTTATTCACATAACAAAAATAACCCCTTTCAGACAAAATACGTCAAAAGTCTAAGCCAAGTTATTTTAGATATTAAAATGTTGTGCTGGCTATAGTTACTGACAGTACCCATAACTAAACTATCAAAAGTAAAATCATAGCAATTATCAACTGCAGTCACAGTTTCTGGATCTCTGTACTCACAGCTAGTTATTTCTGTCTCCTATCACTAACCCATGTTTCCCAGAATACTATGGACTAGATCAAGGTAATGATTGGAACGCACCTTAAGTCTGGTTGTTTTGTGATGGCACTTTGATTTGGTGGTTGTTGTGATCCTTCTTTTATGTTTGCTTGCTGTAAACCTAAACGTAATACTCGATTTATTTCCTTGCCCTGTTGATAAGACCCCCACCCACCCTCTGGTGTTGATGGTAGCTTTAGAACTGAACCCCAGTGGTTGGACATTGATCTTGTTTTCAAAGAAAATATTGCAACTTTATTCAGTTTACATTATTGCAAAGTTAATACACGCTTGACTTGAGGCAAGCTGTTGAAACACTGACTGCTCATTTAAGCTACTAAAAGCATTTTATATATCGTTGAAGCAGGCAAGTTGACTGAGAGCATGTTCCTATTTACAACTTTGGTCAGGAGGAGGAAGTGCAATTAGAAGGAAAGGTTTAAAAAAGAAACATATATATTCATGCCAAAACATTTAAAAGCCAAACCACAAACAAACAGGATAGTCTCACACTATTGTTTAACCATAGAGATCGACTTATTTTAAGATCAGGTTACATGGGCGACATTTGGAGACCGGGCCCACAGGCATTAATTATGGCTGGCTGTACATTTCTCTTACTGTATGTTGCAACTCCATTTAGTCTCCTTCCCACTACAGACGTTTTATTGCGCAGCGTACTGTAGTTGTCTCAAGGCGCACATTTGCTGGGCATTTCGAAACAGTAAAAGAGAAGTCAGAGATTTGTCAAATCCCTTATGCTCATATATGCTATTTTCATATGCTGATTACATGGACAAAGTCAGGTCAACAGTGTCTGCAAACCACCAGCCTCTCAGCAGCCAACCCTTCACAGACCCATTCATTCATATTTCCTCAAACCTGAATACAAAAATGGTGCTTTTCGACTTTTAACCTTTACTAGCCTCACTACATATTCCTTTTGGACCAAGCAAATGTACAACTTGTCCTGGATTATTCTGTGAGATTTGAACCCCTGCCCAACCTGTCTGTTGTACAATTTGCCTGACTTTATCCATATTACATTTCATTTAATGTGGACATTTGTGTTCATACATACCCTGAGTGTTACTGGCTGTAGTTCCTCGGTGTTAAATGGCATGTTGGATGTGGTTTGCTGATGCTGTTGTTGCATGCTGATGACATTGAGCTATGCTAATTGCTTTAAAACTAAGCTTGTCAGAGGAGAAAGGTTAATTAACTTTATGCATCTGGAAATAATTACATTTGAATAACAACGATGAAACCAGATAATGTCGCTCAGATTAAAAAAGTTTGTTCTGCACATTGTTTATCACTCTAGCAAGCTTAGTAAATGCAAGGGCTGATTAAGCTGCTGTGTTTTTTTTGCATCTAAAGGTCCTATCTGTTTGTGTGTCTGTATCTTTGTGTTCATGTCTATGTTTATTGTGTATATAGCAAGGGACTATGAGATTCAGCGAGATCGTATTGAGTTGGGACGCTGCATAGGAGAGGGTCAGTTTGGAGACGTCCATCAAGGAGTCTACAACAGCCCGGTATGTCTCTTTCTCACAGAAACACACACACACACACACTATGCAATATCTTTAATATCTGTAGCCCTTGATGAATAGTAGCTTTATATCTGAATAATATAATTAAAACAGCCTATTATAGAATTCCCTTTACATGTACATGCATTATTCTGCATACATTATACATTCAAACTCATTGCAAATGTACAATAGTAGTAGATTTTAAAAAACATCTTACGAAAGAAATACAAATCTGCTTCTGACCTTATTATACGTTTGTGTGTTTAATTAATGCAGTCTTTTACTAACCTCTTTTATCTTTGTTCTCTCTCTCACCCTCTTGCAAAGTCGCTTTGAAGCTAGACTACAAAGAATAAACTGAGTTTGAACTCACGTTACAATAACTGCACTGTATAGTTGTAGAAAAAGGAAGTGATTGGATGGACTTGCCACTCATAAACCATGAGGATTAACCTACAAATCTCATCATTACATGTTATTATATGATAAACAAACAAATAATAGGCTCAGTGTATTTGAATAGGCAGTGAATTTGCTGAATACAGCTGCTTCTGTTGTAATGCTGATCATTTTCTTCACTTCTGTTTTTTGCAGGAGAACCCGGCCCTCTCTGTGGCCGTGAAGACGTGTAAGAACTCAACGTCGGACAGCGTCAGGGAAAAGTTTCTCCAAGAAGCATGTAAGGGCCTCGTGTGTGTTTCTCAAATGTTACCTGCTAACAATTCACTCAAGAATTTTCAGAATACTACAGAAAATCATGCAGGCTGCTAATGATCTGAACTTCTCTCCATGCAGTGACCATGCGTCAGTTTGACCACCCGCACATCGTGAAGCTGGTGGGAGTCATCACAGAGAATCCAGTGTGGATCATCATGGAGCTCTGCACACTCGGAGAGGTACGACACTGATATCAACTCCTATAAGGGTGTTCATTATCCGCTGGATTACATGGATGTGCATGTGTTTAAAATATTATTGGAGTAATCGTTTTGTACAAAATATACCTCGAAAGTGTTTCTTGTTTTGACACATTTTTTCAGTATTTGTCAAACAGCAAGAGAGAATTTATCAGGTTAAACTTTATGGCAGAATTCAGATTATACAATAAATTGCAGCACAAAACCCTTAGTCTGTTTTTGAAATAAATGTATGTCTAAAATTCTTCGTTCAGTTGTTTAGATAAGTGTCTTCTAGCATTAAACAACAACATTGGGATGTAGGGACAACAATCGAGCAGGAAAGTAAGAAGATTCCTCTGTGAAAGTATGTTAATAAGTACAAACAAATTTGTAGTCTAGCTTCAAAGCAAGTACAAACACATTTGTTTTGTTTATATTTCTGTTTTCATTAGTTTGTGATATTGGTTTTCCTTATATGCACATTATAAGGAACATCTGAGCTTATGATGCATCACAACACATGTATCTGCAGCAGAAAAGCTGCCAACTGGTCATCTACTGCCTAAGTCAAATACACCCACATGGACCACGTCACACAATCTGTTGTTGACATAAACGATAATGTCCCCGTTCATTTATCTTGCATAGTTCCTTTTTATTCTGGTAATGGCACAGTTTGATTTATAAAACTGTTTGATAACTGTTGTTATTATTCCTCTCGTTCTGCCCCTCTATCTCAATTTCTCAATTTTCTCATATCCCTGTCTACCCCTACTTTTCCTGATTTCTGTAACTCTGTCACCATCTAATTGTTCCTCTCTCCCTCTCCTTCTCTCATCCCTTTGTTTGTGTTTGTTTTCTTCCTCCTCCACAGTTGCGGTCCTTCCTCCAGGTGAGGAAGTACAGTCTGGACTTGGCCTCTCTCATCTTATACTCATCCCAGCTCAGCACGGCACTGGCATATCTGGAGAGCAAGCGCTTTGTACACAGGTATGTATAAAAGTCTCATATAATATACATTTACAATGATATAGTTGCTTTTTAAATTGGGCTTGATTCAACCTATAAAGAAACAATATTAGTTTATGGAAAATAGATATTCCCTTCGAACCATAGTCCAGCATTGCAACCTTATTGGAAGATCACGTGCGTATGTCTCATTTAATAATTATTTTTAAATAAAATGGAGACAAATTGGGAAATGGGGAAACAAATATTGTCACCAACTCCAAGCATGTGGTTTCCCAAAAATCTAAAATAATGATATTATCATGATGTTTTTCAAGAAGCCACAGGTGAGAAATGTCTGGTCATGTAAATAAATGTCGAAGTGTTTTGGATTTCCTCCCATTTGTGTTCTATGCTCCTCAGGGACATCGCAGCACGGAACGTATTGGTGTCCACAGCCGACTGTGTAAAACTGGGGGACTTTGGTTTGTCTCGATACATGGAAGATAGCTCTTATTATAAAGGTAAATACAACACCTTTTAAAAAGACACCATTTCCTGATAATTCCTCACTTAACCGTGTCCTTTTAACCATCTTTGATCCTCATAACCTATGGAGCAAATCAGCATTATTATTCATTGGACTGACATGATTTTAGCTGATCATTAAAGTGTAACACCGTCCTTCTGATTTCTGTTTTTCAGCTTCTAAAGGTAAACTACCTATTAAATGGATGGCTCCTGAATCCATCAACTTCAGGCGATTTACCACAGCCAGTGACGTCTGGATGTTTGGTGAGTTAAATGTGTTGACATGCTTTCTTCTTTGCATTTATGTGGGTTCAAATGTAAAGTTTTAATAAAAATGTTTAGATTGAATCTTTTGCACTCTTTACTCTCAGCATTTTGCAGCATTTAAGAGCCAATTTCTTGCCGTCTCAGTCTCATAGTGACTGACTTTTTCTGTTTTTCTGTCTTTCCATAGGCGTCTGTATGTGGGAGATCCTCATGTTCGGCATCAAGCCTTTCCAAGGTGTGAAGAACAACGACGTCATCGGCAGGATAGAGAACGGCGAGCGCCTGGCGATGCCCCCTCAGTGCCCTCCTACTCTGTACAGCTTGATGACAAAGTGTTGGTCGTATGATCCCAGCAAGAGGCCACGCTTCACTGAACTCAAAACACAACTGAGGTACTTAATGGAGTGTGGGAGTGTCTTTCTGTGTATCTGTAAGTGCAAACATATTGTGGTTTACTTTTTTTTATGTCTTTAAGTTGGAGAAATGTGGGGTTCAGTGTCTTGCTCAAGGACACAAACCACTGATGCTCTTTCTCTTTTCTCTCTTTTCTTCTTTGCCAGAAAGATAATTTATCGTATCTGAATATTTACTTTACCTCAAATGAAGAAGCAAAATAGGCATTTTTGTGTCCCTTGCAGAAATGTTAAGGTGTAATGCATTGAGTTAAAGAACCTGGACATAGTAAAACGAAATTTTAAAATGCACGTTTTTTCTAAGATAGCCTCCCCCTATATCTACCCCAATAACGACAGTATTAGTTTGTTTTCAAAATGATACTACCAGCCTGCCTGTCTTTTAAAAGTTAAGTTGTTACATTTGATCCTTCTGCATGTTAATCTATACTATTTTCTCAGTTGTAGTTAAGATAAAGGACTGTGCCACAGTTAATTACTTTTGCTCCTTACACCTTCCTGCCAGCAGGGGTCACTGTCTGTATTAGTTATATAATCAAACCAAATCAGTGGAAGTATTTTACATTTACAATTAGGCCACATACTCTGGCTTTTGTCTTTTTCACCGTTCAGATACAGGCAGAGGGACGGAGATTTTATCCATCTGCGGTCTCATTTACATGTCTTCTAATTTGTTCATTGAACAGGCAGACTGGATCATTTTATTGTCCTGGCTTTTTGTCTGCTCTGATTTAATCCAGTTTTATATACTAGATTCAATTTAATTATCTTAATTTACGGAAATGACGGCATAAATCTTGTCACTCCACTAAATTCTCCAGATAAAAATGCATCTTATCATTTTCAACAAATATTAAGAATATCCTAACTTGCAGATTTTTTTAAAAGTTGAAGTTTGTGAAGTTCATTATCTTCACCTATACGTGTGTTTGGCGTTGTTTAAATCCACACTGGTTGAATAATATATAGTCTAGTATTTAAGTTAATTTGTACCCTTGTATACAGAGGACAGCCGTTTCTACATGTTTTAACACCCTCACATTAACCTTTATGTGAGCTCTTTAACCTCAAAGTCATTAATGTTTCTTTTCAAATGGAGTCAAAACTAAACTGTCCAAATACTTAACATCCTGTTTGGGCTGATGACTGTATGGTTGGTATGGCAACAAAGATATGATAATGACAGAGATAGATTAAATGAGATATCTCAGTCACGCCTCGCCTCCTTGTTAAATGATACATCACTGCCTTGTTACCATCTTTTCCCGGAGACAGATTAGGAAACAGAGAGATCTTATCCATCAGGAGACAATATGCCGCCCACGGTTTGATCAGATAAGGCGGAGCTAGACAACACTGTACACATTTTAAACAATTTGCAGCGGTAGTCCCTGAGTCAGTCATCACCGTGATGTTCCCCTTTCAGTAGGAAGAGTCCAACGTATTCATGAGTCATATTATGTCGCAAATAACTTGGCAAGACCGTTCACAATTTGTAAACTGTTTTATTAATGTATTGAGGGTCGATAGGAAGGGCAACTTTGAGGAATAAGGTAACATTGTGTCAGTCGTCATCTTGTGCCAGTGGCAAAGGAGAGAAACTCCATAAATCTGACATGTTTGATGATTTATATCTGCCAGTGTGGGGTTACAGTATGTGATTACAATTATTGCTAATCACAGCATGCTGGCAGCCAAAATAACACCCACAGCTCTCAGATCATAATTTCCCCCCAACACACCTTCACAAATCCGGCCCACCAACATGTTGAATATTAGTCAATTTCAATTTCGCTCCAGTGTTGTAATGCTTCATCAGAATTTTGGCTCTGCTATGTGCTACAGATTTGAATTCTAACACCCTCCTTGTGACGACCCGTAAAACTATGCAGTTATAATCAATAGATTTGTAGAATAAAGTAAAGTTTTTCCGAAGGCAGAATTGTAAGAAGAGTTAGCACTATTTATTTTTAGATTTAGATTAGATTTATGTAGGCTTAGAGTAGGAGTAGAGCTTTTCCCAGCCACCATGACTCAACAATTCATAATCATACAGACAGGAACAGACCTGCAGTTTTTTGTAAGTGATCCTGTAGCTCTACAGTGGAATCAGCTGATGATGTATTCTTGCAACACAGATCATACATTCATTAAATTAACAACAGGATATGAACGTCAGCTGAGACAATAGGACACTACTTGGATTACATTTTGTGCACAGTTTGCTTGCTCTTTTATATTTCTTCAGAATCAGAATACATTTATTCGTTCCACAGAGGGGAAATGTGCATTTGTTACAGCAAGAAAAGAGCCAAAGACGGCCAATATTAACCAAGAAACATAAAAAAAGATTACAAATAAAAACAATTACACAATTTACAAAATACACATCCTGTAACAGATCCTGTTCTTAAACACGACAGCAGCATTCCAGATGTTAGCTGCCACTTTATTTACACCAAAACCAGTCTGCCTTTTATGATTTTTCAAAATATGAACTGTTGGTTTGCAGATTGATGTGCCAAGATATTCCCCCGTTTATTCATTAATACATGAATGTGTCGTCTAAAGGTTCATTCATGTATTGTTAATGTATTATTATGAAATCCTTCCATATATAATCTATTTAAAATACCTTTTACAGCACTTACTGAATGTGAGTTAGTGAGTCTGGACAAACATGGATGTAAACTGTAACTAAACTGGTTGAACGAGGTACACAACACAAGGCGCTGATTTTATTTGTTTACATTTTACACCATGATGCTAATTTTGAGGCTTGCACTTGTATATACATATTTAGATAAAACAACAGCACAGCTAAATGCCTTAAAATCAATTCAACATGCACATTCTTCCTCTTGTTCTCTCTCTCTCTCTCTCTCTCTCTCTCTCTCTCTCTCTCTCTCTCTCTCTCTCTCTCTCTGTCTCTAAAACACAGAAACAGGAAAATAAGAGTGCACATTTCACTCCTGTGGTTTTTACGAGTTTGCTAAAAACCAGCGTGACCAACACCTTAAATTCCATCACAATTACACTGCCAATGTTCTCGATGTCAGCTTTCCTCTTTTACCCCAATTTTACTCTTCCTATTCTCTCTTTCAAACTGCACTTTCTGTGCTCTTATCTTCTCCTATCCTCTTCCACCTTTTCATTGTGTCCTCTTAATCTTACCCTTTTTTTATTTTGGTTTCAAACAAATAATAGTATAATAAAGGCGGTCTACTCATCAGTCCGACAAATGTACAGTTTGAGTGTGGTTACGTGTTGTAATGGGCTTACAACCCAGTGTGGAAAAGTACATCAAACTGCATTTGAGTGCTAATCCGACAAAATGTAGAACAATTATTTTAATTGACTGTGATATGTTGGCATGAAGAAATAGTGAGGAACCCCCGATGTGCCTCATTCAGTGTCTTGGAAACCAAGTCAATATTGACCACGTTAAATGTGGTCGCTGGCTATTAATAGGGAAAAGTCCTGCCATATAAGGATATACAGTTTGGTTTACTTTGGGTCTGGCTGGCCTTTATATCATAATATCAATTATAGGTCTCTCCTGCCAAATATGCAGCTCTCAGCTTTCCTACACGGTGGACCAACGTGAGTGTGTGTGTGTGTGTATGTGTACGTGTGTAAACAGTGGGCAGCTACCAGCAGCTACAGCTTTCCAAAGAACAGAGAGAGAGAGAGAGAGAGAGAGAGAGAGAGAATAAAGACTGAGAGAATGAAAGAAGGATAAGCAGAACTAGCGTAGCCTGCAGTCTTTGTGTTCAGCTACAACTGTCTGTGTCACCCTGCCAGGAATAGTACATTTTACCCTTTTAGCGTTGCTGGGATCTTTTGTGGCTACTCGTGTTAACTTTCTGCAGCATCTCAGTGCTGAGTGCAGCTGGCCTATCATCCCTTTGGTGCTGATGTTATTTCACTAAAAGAGCTTGTCTGGATATTCTCCAGAGCTTTTGGATCTGCTTGTTTTAAAGGTAAAGTATTGTCTCTTTTATATTCTGCCTTTTTTGTTTTATCAGGATTTCTTAAAGTTGTGGTGGGGGTCTGTTATCTGATAAATTGTAATTTCTTTCTATTTAACTGTACACAGCTTAATGTGTGCTGCATTCACTAGATGCTGCTGCGTCAAAGGGTTAGATCCGTAGCTGTTTTGGAGCAGTTTCTCTTAAACATAATAAGTCGGTTGTGCTTCTTTTCATGTTCTCATAAAAAAAAAAACGACTACAATTTCATCAAGTCTGTCTTAAAACCCAATGACACAGCTTTTGGACGTTGTAATATTTGTGTCCTGAGATTCCTTTGTCCGGTGTTTTCAATGTAAGTGATGGAGAACAAGATCCATCCTCCTTATTCTGTTGCAAAATAAATTCCGAAGTTCAGCTGAAGCTTAAAATAAATCCTGATTAGACAAATTCACAAGTTACAGTTGTTTATTTTCTTGCTGCAGTTGTTGGGTAGTAACACTTTAAGGGAATCCTTTATTCTCAAACAAGGATATTCAAAGACATTTCCCGGTAATAACCTTTTACAAATCAAAGGGGGAATTTGGGATTAGTTTTCAGTGTGCTTTTTATGCAGATATCCTCGAATGTCTGGTTTACATCTCAGTGTACCTGGACTCAGACATCTAGATCATGCTGCTCAGTTTAGATGAGGTCGTACAGGGCAGCTCTCAGGTGAGAAGTACGTGAGAGTAAAGCAGGGCGGTGCTGAAAAGTCCAGGATTGTCCTGTCAGCCCAGCCTGAGTAAATAATCTAAGCAGGCCTTGTTTTTCCAGGTGTCAGAGTGTGGTGGAGGTGGGGGAGAATGCGTTGATGTTGCCAGGTGAAGTTATTGTCGTCACGCAGATTAATGCTTGATGCAATTTACCGTTAGGACTGTGATGCAAGGCTGGCGGATTTATACATGACTGGTTGTCTGGATGAAAAGGAGAACAAAGAGATACAAAAAGTGTTACAATGCAGCTATGCTTTAAAGGTCCCCTATTATACTCTTTTTCATCAATATATTATAGGTCTCGAATATATACAAAACATGTCTCTGAAGTGTTTGGCTCGAAATACCAAACAGATCATGCATTGTAGCATCCCATAATCCCCTCTGTTTCAGCACTGTTTCAAAAGTGCTGATTCTCTGTCTGTTACTTTAGATGAAAATAAGGAGCCACTCCCCACGCCCCTCTGAGAGAGATTTGGTTAAAAAGAACACAATAGTGCTCTAGGAGGAGATGCAGGTGATAAGGTGGGGGGGTTACCTTGGTTGGTGATTGGCTAATGGTTACACAAGCCAAAAAATCGTTATGACATCATAAAGTGGCCAAATTCTGATCAGCTCATTTTCAGGCAGGTTTTTATATAAATGGATCAGGACAAAAAGTGAGCAAATCTTTTTTCCTGAAACTTTCAGAATCTCTTTACACAGAGGGGACACATGTTTATGTATAAAAGACATAAAAAAGTGGATTTTTCATAATAGGTGACCTTTAAATACTCTACTCTCCTGTATATCTTTTTATTTTGTTGCAAACCGTGTGTTTTTTTTGTGTTGTCTTTATTCCTTCAACTCATAGGATCAGTACAGTTCAGCACTAAAGCCTGAAGGCTGATCAAGAGAAACAATGGGAAATGTAAACCAAAATAATAATAATAATAATAATTACTAACTAATATTCAGATTTGTATGACTTTTTCTATCTGATTATTGTAGTTGTTTAAGCCTGTGTTCATATGTTTTACTTTTAACTGCTTAATAATTTAGTGGAAAACTGAGATTGTTGTACATATGTGTGTTGTGATGGAAGAGGAGCTGACAGGAGACTGACTTTGACAGGTGCATGAACACACACACACACACACACACACACACACACACACACACACACACACACACACACACACACACACACACACACACACACACACAGCGGGAGACAACAGAACAGAAGGGTAATGCTGTTACCAGAAATAGCTCTTGTTGAATAAAGGAGAGTAGAAAGAGTGTGTGACAGTGTGTGTTGAATTGTTCATCCAGTCAGTCTTGTGTGAGGAACCAGCAGCAGCTCGTTCCTCTGGGTGTCTGGGTTTGATTCAGCAGCAGTTTTCCCAGGGAACAGGTCAGTAAGGATAATTTTAGCGGGTAAATTCAGTGTGGTATCTTTGGCGAAATAAGACCTTAAAAATGTTGGGTTTGGGCCGTGGGACATTGCTTAAACTTGAATGTGTTTCAATAGAATCTTATGCACATAAATGTATTACTTGAGTTGCTGTAAAATATATTTTTTTGGCGTAGATGCCTTAGCAGCAAGACATAACAAAAAAGGAATCTGTTCCTCTTATGATGTTAGTAGTGTCTGTTTTGATGCTCTGTACAAAGAGTGGGATGAATGTCCCTTATGCCTGAGTTAGTGTGTGTGTGTGTCACAGCAGCACACAGTGAATAAGCTGACATCATTAATGCTGTGTGTGTTCATGGAGTCAGAGTCTGTGAGTTTTCTTATTTCTAGGGGACAGAAAACCACCCAAGCTGACAGTTCACATTTAAAAACACCTTTTTTTGCAAAAACCCTGTGATGTGTTTACATAGTAGTGTGAACTAGGATATAAAGTAATAAATGCAAAACTCAGTACCTCGTATTTTCTTTGGTGGGTCAGGTAGGTGCTTGTTTCATTTAGTACTTTTTGTAAGCGGTAGGTATTTTCATCATCTGGCTGGTTCATTTAAGTCCTTATACACTTGTACACATTATACATGGCCTATTCTTAACCTTTTAAAGCGACTAAGATGATTTAATTGACTTGTTTAATGTTTGTTGTGTGTGGTCTTTTGCTATGTGTTTTTTACTAACTGATGGCCTGGTTTTTATGGTGAGCCAATATAACATTTCCAACCTGGTGGACAATAAATATACAATCTATTCTAACACAATAGCAGAATATGCTGTACCATAATATTGTTTTAAGATAACTACAATATGTGTTAATGATAAATGCTAAATGTTAATTTATGCTGTAGGTGGTCACAGAGACAACACTATCTACTTATTTCTCCCAGTTATTCTTTTTTTTATTTTCCAGTGCTAGATCAAAATCAATTCAACAAGGTACCAGTACTGTTTTGTGTTTGATCATCTTGTGTATTTGGTCTCTTTTCCAGCACTATACTAGAGGAGGAGAAGCTCCAGCAGAAGGAGAGGAGCAGGATGGAGATGAGGAGGCAGGTCACTGTATCTTGGGACTCCGGAGGGTCTGATGAAGCACCACCAAAAGTAAGGCACCACCACACCACATGTTTGTGTCTCTGTCTGTGTGTGTGTTTATGTTGGTATGAGTGCAACAGGTGTAGTAATAAAGTGTCTGTTGTGTTTGTACTGTTGGCAATGAGACGCCCTGATCATTGTGACCCATGCTCTCTTCCGTTAGCCTCTCTGATATGCTTCCATGTTGAGTTGGTGACATATTTTCTGTTGTCTGTTTTTGCTGCATCACACATGATTGTGACTGTTCACCATTTCATATCGAGACATTGAAATTATTCAACTGGTAACTCTTTGATTTAATAAGTCCTCTAGTTTGAACATGCAAGGTTTCTGCAGAACCCCTGTAATGTTAAATTATTTCTGAAGTCAGTTGTAAAGTATGGTTTTCTTACTATGATCAAATTGAAAACTATACATGTTAATGGGTTCATGCTTTTGAATCACAACTTTTCAAGGAATGTTTGATGCATGTAGTTAAAGTTCCATATTATAGGGGAAATGCGCTTTCACACAAATAAGCAAATGTGGGTCCATTGACTCTGGCCTTTTGCAGCATTGACATGTTTTTGATAAATTGAATATGTTTTATCTGAAAAGCTTATGTTTTGACATGCATTTCCAGGCATTTCTTCTTGTGATCACGTATTATGGTGATCTTGCAGTGGGAAGGTTATTGTTCATAAAACATTCTAGTATATTAGAACAAGGGAGACATATTTGATTTGTGTTATATACATATATAAGCACTGGATCGGTTATCTTACTTTTATTTTTTTATAAAATTAAACCATTACCTTCAAATGTGTAATGATGGTCAGTTTCCTGAAAAAAATACATGTACTTCTTAATTTGTTCATAATGACCACCCCCACTGGCGCCATCCCAACTCACAGCTTGTTTCCCCAGCTGCTGGCTGCTTCTCCCTCTCATGCTGCCCCCCTTCATGCCCCTGCTGTTAGCATCTGCTAACTGCTACTCTTGGTCATAACTAAAGCCATATGTGTTGCAGAGCAGTTTTAGGATTGAGAGATTTGCTAGTTTAATCATGCTGTTTTTTGTTGCAGGTTTTAGTAAATGCTGCATTTTGTTTCATTGAGAACAACATTAATGTAAATGCTCTGCTTGGAGGGAAAGGTTTTTACTTGTGTTTGTAAAACATGTTATGCCCTACAGAGGCACACTTGCTGTATGGCTTTGGTTACAGTCTTGGCTTCAGCTCTTCCCTGTCTGTCTCACCTGTCTACTACATATCTCTATCTTCTATGATACCTTTTTTATTTCCTTGTGTTCGTCCTCTACCCTTGTCTATCTGTTTGCAGCCCAGCCGTCGCCCCTCCCTGCAGCCCACCTTCAGTCTGGACTGTCTTTCTGCTCCTTCACCTCTCCACCATTGCCATCAAAACCAACGCTCTGCCTCACAGCTTTCCCTCTGCCTTGGAAACCCTCATCCTTCGTCTCCCTTCACCTCTTCTCACCTACCCGCTCCTCCGCTCTACTTATCATCTCTGCAATTTCCCCATCACTTTTCCTCTGCTCCCAACCCTCAGCCTCAATCACTTCAAAACTCCACTTTTTACAATCACTCTTTCTCTCAGCACAACAATAAGTTTAACCCTGAATCCAAACCCGGCTTATCCCTACGGTCTCATCCTAACTTCTACTTTCCACCTCACAACAGTTCAGAGAGCTGGTCCAATGGCAGCTGTCCACACAAGACAAATCCCCCCACTAACGGTCACCTGCTCTGTTCATCCCAGCCAAAGTCAAACATCTCCCATCCCTGGCTCTCCTCCCCACTCCTCTCCCAATCGAGTCCTAACTTAAACTCTCTTCCCCGCAGCCTGTCAAATATTTGTCCCCACACCATCCAAAACATCCAGCCAGAGTCAAATTCTAATCCTAAAACTCTAACTCTGCCGCGCAGCTTTCACCCCGGCTGCCAAACTAATCCCAGCACTCCATTACAAACTGACTGTGACCCCCAGCACCAACACCCTGCTGTGCAGTCATGTGGGAGGCCCCCGCTCGTCTCTCCTGCCCCCCTCACTCTTCCACGTACAGCGAGACCCTCTGCCTGCTCTCTGTCCTCCGCCCACCACCATCCACCCAGTCGAATGCCACGCCTCCCTGTAGCTACCAACACAGCTTTCCCCATCCCCTGCTCTGAAAGACACACGAAGGCAGGTGGTGTACTGTTAACCTAAGCTAAAGCTGTTTTTATAACTACTAAAACAAACGTGTGTGTCTTTATCAAAAAAGTTGCAACATTCAAGAGTGTAGCCCCTTTGATGAATATCCAAGGGGAGAAATTCCAGATTCAAAGAATTGATTACAGACTGCTGATACATTGGATAGATTAAAAATGGCCTCTTTTGTACCTGTAATCTATTTAACATTACATTACATTATATTATCCAAAGGGACTTACAATAACTGCATTCAACCATAAAGAGCCAAAACTCAAAAGCAAGAATCTTGAAATTAAATTTCCTATCAATCTATTTTCTACATAAGCAATGTTTAAAATTCAGAATAAAGACATTCTTAGGTATTATTTATTAAAAGTATCATTTGGTGCGTCACTGCAATCAGTCCCTTGACTTTCCTTACCTTCTCATTTCCTTCTTTATCTTTACCACATTCGGTCCAAAAATAAGCCCAGTCTGAACTACACATATTTTAAGAAATGTTGCAACGGTTTTTGTTGAATGAATCAACAAATGCAAACTCATTTGTGAATCATTGAATTGTACTGAGTGCAGTGGTTTTTAAAACAATGCTTGACAACACCAGTGACTTTTAAAATGAGCATGTTTTTGCATGACATGTTTTATTTGTGTTGGACATGCTGCTGAAGGTCCTCTGTCGTGATTGAATGTAGTTTCAGATATTTATGTTTGTGTCGGGCATTGTGTTGATGTGTCCTGGGATTAGTGTAACCTATTTCTAGCCTGTTCAGGGTGCCCCACATAAATCCTAAATCCTGTGACCAACAGTCAGACACCTCGCACACACGTAGGACTTAGATACAGTAAATCATGGATAAGCCAGAAGACAAATATGCATATCATTTATCTAAACTACCTTTAACCTGCTTTGACATTTCAATCAAACTAAAATGACATAGAGCAAGGTCAAAACAAAATTGAAACACTTTTCTTTACACTAGGGGGAACCCAAAGTCCAGAACTAATGCTGCTATAATTCAACAACTTTTCCACTCCACAGGACCGGGTCTCAGCCTTGTTAAGGAGGAAAGCTATAACCATTTGATATAGTTTAACTCGTACTACATTCTGTTTTGAATTAAGTCAAATTGAAGTTTGTAATCATTTGTGATGGCTAGGATAAACAGTTACTATGAATACACTCTAAGAGTTACCTCAACGTTCTGTCTCTACCAGCCTGTTTATTCAGAGCTGGCTCTCTGTCACCTTGACCTCTGGCCAGTAGTACTACACATGAGTTTGTTTTGGTAGGTGACCCTGTTTTTGGAAGGAGCGTTTAGTCCTCCCACTGAGCTGTAACTTCACCCTACCTCCTACATGGAAAAAAGTATTACTTTCAATGCTTGTAAAGTGTTTAAAACACACTTTCATGTAAACATATAGGAAATACTGCTAAAATCAAAGATATTTCTGGTACCATAGGTACATAACAAAAATAGCTGCATAAAATAAGATGTGCCTTTAGTCAATGTTCTGTTGGGCCCTTAGCTGCATAACATGTTAAATCTTTACAACAGCTGGAATAAATTCCTGTTGTGAGTCTTTTTTCTGATGATGGATGAATGTGTGGGAGTCGATGAATTGTGCCCCAGAGTGGGGGCACAAGTCAAAAGAAAACCTTAATTACATTGTGCTGCTCAACATACTTAAAATTCTTCCTAGAGTTATGCCATGGGTCTACATATTAGTAATAGCAGTATGTGTCTCACAACAACAAGTTCATTTTGAAAGGAATCGCAATTACGGTCTACAAAATATACTGCCCTGAAATAGTTAAAATGCTCAAGATAATGAAAAATAGATTTTCTTTTGTCAAGCGCCGTGTTTAAAAACAGTTTCTTAAAACCCCAAATATAAGACACAATGGATACTTTAATGTCATCCATCAAAATGCATAACTAAATTCAGTTTCCTTTGTCCCAGTGCACAAGAAAACAACATGGTGTGCAAACAGAAAAAGATTAAAGAAAATAGATTGTAAAAAGACAAGTACCAGTACTGTAAATATAAATACAGGTTGTGTAAGTGATGCCTAGTTTTATCTGGTAACATTGACCTTTCCCTCCACAAAATGTGTATTTTAAAGTAATCTATTTGTCCCACATACCTGTGGATTAAGATGTGTTGTGGCAAGCCATAGATATACATTTTGATCAGATGCTGAAAATACACCCTAAGCTGACGTAGTGGTAAAAACAGGGACCCCAAAACTCAGCTATCAAAAAAGCAGGAACCGTTTTTCAACATTGCATTATTTATTTATTTGGTCATTCATTCTTACATTCAAATATTCATCCAAAGTGGAACAGATAGTTACCCATAGCTGTCTTACCCTAGTGCAACTACTTCCTCATTAACCTTCCTATCTGTCTGTTGTCCCTGTGTTTATTTTGCCATTTTTAAACTGGGTATTCCCCCGGTAAACCTCCCTCTACTTGGATAGACTACCACAGGCCTGTGAATCAGTTTCGGGACGATTTAAGATATCATTTTGTTCTTGTGAAGGAGCCCTGTGTCCTTCCATGTGTGAGCATGTTCACAACATGCTGTACGTTTCCCTGTGTCTGCCGCTCTGAGAGTTTTTAAATCTCCTGTATGTCTGGTCTTTAGTTTCTCTGTCTTGTCTGCTTCTCTATGTCCTCCCTCCCTTCCTACTGTTTTTCCTTTTCTCTCCCCTTCTCTCCCTCCCTCCCCGTCTTTCTTTGCTGTCTGTCTCCCTCCCTGTGTGTCTTTGTGTCTTGTCTTGCTGTCGGAGGTGTGGTCCAGAGAAAGCTACTATGAGAGCCTGTGGAAGGTAGAGGTTACATCACTGCTGTGCTAATGAGCTCTGTGTTAGAGAGGGTTAAATCAACTTTCAACAGCTTCATCACAACAAATCACCAGAAACCAAGAGAAGCAACAAGGGTGTGTGTTCACCAAGCACTTCTGTTTTTAGCTACTAGCCCAATGCAAAGGAATACAAATCAAATAGATAGAGACGAGAAGCCGACTCACGCTCCTCTTTAACCATCAGTAGTTGGCACAAGATAGTAAAACAATTTCTTATGTTTTACATTACTTTTTAACCTTTTCAACACAAATACTTCCAAATAAGAAGAACAACTGTGCTTTAAAGAGAAGTCTTTGGTGAACTTGCAACCATAACACCTCGTACACTCTGCATCACATCTAACCGCAGACCCCAGGGATGAGTAGAACAGGAACATCACATACTTTATAACAATAATCCTTGGATTTCATTGTTTGTAACATAGGGAAACTATGTAGTGCCATTTCGACTAACAGCTTGCTGGACTTGCAGCCCAGTGGGTGTTCCCTTTGTTTTGATTGACAGCTAACCCAGCCACACAAACAGCACCGAGGGGTTTGTGTGTGGATTGACTGAATGACCCCGGTATCCGTCCTCTAACGTTTATCTTGGGAAAACGATGAACAAGTGTTCTAACTGTGTTATTGTTTTTTCCCCCTGTCTTTTTTATTCCTCTCTCTCTCTCTCTCTCTTTCTCTCTCTCTGACTGTAGCCTAGCAGACCAGGATATCCTAGTCCTCGCTCCAGTGAAGGTTTTTATCCCAGTCCCCAACATCCTGGACACTACCAGGTACGCCAGTGGCAGAGACCGTGTATATAAAAGTAACATTTTACTGGGATATAAAATAGTAAGACACCCATATTTAATACTACCCAGCCAATTGTTTCAAAGTACCTCATATCTGCTCTGCATTGACAAACTACATCGTTTTTTTTTTATTTAAACAATATAATATTGTATTCTATAATCATTTTAAACTTTTGAAAGAGACATACTACTTTTTACTTTTACTTAAATTACAATTTGCTCAAAATACTTTCTTTCTTAAGTACTATTTCGAATTCAGGACTTTAAGTTCTAAAGGAGTATTTGTAGAGGATGGTCTTTATGCTTTTACTTAAGTAAAGGATCTGAGTGATTTGTCCACCACTTATAACATTGAAAGATATAATGTATAGCACATTTGAAAGGATGTAAGGGTGCTAAATGACCTATAGTTACTAATAACAAAGGTGAAGATGTAATCAAAAGAGAACTGAAAACCGGCTAACCGTGTGTCTTTCTCTCCGTCCTCCCTCTCTGGATCAGATGGCAGGATACCCCGGCCCTCACACCCTCCCCTCGGTGCCCAGCGCCCTGTACCCGCCACAGGCCACCATGCTGGACACACACCATGCGCACACACACCCCCGCCACCACGTCCACACACACTCTCAGCACCTTCCCGTTCCGCATGGACAAGACATGGCACTATGGGGCTCAGCGATGGAGGTAGGAGACACATTTTACACTCAAACACTCACACATATACACACGGGTAAATTAAGAGGATACAACTTAAACTCACACAGATTTATTATTTTTGGTTAAGACACAGCAGGTTATTCAGCTAGCTTGCATTCATTACCCCTCAATGACAGGAAAAAGGTATTTTATAAAGCTGTTTTTGTTTGTTATTTAAAGGTATATAATTTGCAAGTGTTAACAGTCATACAATATTGAATATACCAGTCGAACGCTTAAAGATTAAAAATGATTAGGATAATTTTACATCCTCAAAAGACATAGTGAATAAAAAGCCCTACCTGCATAATGAGTCCAGGGCACACATTTACAATATTATATTTAAATGGTCCTATTCTACGGCCCATTTACACCCATTATTTTCAGTGTGTGTCCATCATCTCAGTTCAGCCTCTCATCTGTCTGGTGTATGTGTCTGTGTGTGTGTGTCTGTGTTGGTGTGCACGTCTGTTGCTATGCTTGTCTTTTGTTGCATGCTTGTACTGTGTTTGTTTGTGTCGGTGTGTAGGACAGGGCAGTAGACATGCAGCAGTGTGTAGGCCAGCAGTGCCTGTTTATGGAGGAACAGCTGATGATACAACAACAGCAGATGGAGGAGGACCAGAGGTGGCTGGAGCAGGAGGAAAGGCTGCTGGTAACACTCAGAGCACTCTCAGACACACATATACTAAGAATGTAACGGTTCATTTAACATAAGATTTCGTTTGATACACTGAACTCTGTTAGCATAAACTTCAGAGGCAAGTAAACAAAGATTTAGACAATGTCATTCAAGTTTATTATAAGACCATTTTGATTTTTTTTATTACTACTTCAAATAAATGTAAGATCAGATGCATCCTTTTTATTATAAAACAATGGAGGGTACGTATATATATTTCACTGAAAAACAGTAGAGTATAGTGAATGGCTACATTTTTAATATCCCTAAGTATTTTTTGTTAGATATTGTTGTGCATGGGGAAGTGTTGTTTTTGATGCAAAGCTTTCTCTCTTATTTGCCATCCTTGACTTGTCAGTTGTGCTGTTGATTCTTTTCATTTAAGTTCCACGATGCATGTTGTTGTGTTTTTGTACATGTGTTAATGGACTCTCTGGAATACATCACATGCTCCTCAAGGACAATCACATTTCCATACATTTGATAAATATAAAACAAACTAAAGTCATTTTGGAAATCAACATATCAATATGAGTTAACTCCCTCAGAGGTTACGAGTATTGCATTGCATTCCTATTGGAGCCAAAGCAACACAATAATCTGTGACCAGACACCAACTTCATTTGGATACGCTGTTATAAAACATGTTCTTTTTTTTCATTGCGATAAATAAGACATACAACATTTAGTGAAAAAACATCAAACATATGGTACATTCAAACGACCTCGGGAAAAAACATATCTAATAGTGTGTGTGATTCTCAGCACTATGGTTTTACATACATACAATATTACAGCTAACTATTCTAGTAAAATTATCATACAAAGAAAAATGAATGTAGTGTGTATTGCTGTCTGATGGAGCTAGTTGCTTCTGATGGAGACCCTCTGACAAAAAGAGGGGGAGGTGAAGGAGAACGATTTCATGTAGGATGCATTTTTCTGTGAACACTGATTGAAGGATCTCTGGGGTTTTTGCTCAAGTATTTTATTGTACATGCTTGAGAGGGAGAGAGTCTGAAGGCAGGTGTGGCCTGTGTGAATTCCAGGCTAATGATAGGCTTAGACAATCTGACAGCCCAGTCAACAGTCTGTCTTTGACCCACAACCACTAACTGACAACACACAAGATTACTGAAAAGCTAGGAAGGCGTATATTTATGTGTGTGAGTGAGTGTGTGTGTTGGAGGCTGGTTGGTTTTTATCACACTGTTACTTCAGGGAGGGGCGAGAGAGAGGGGGGAGAAAGGGAGGAGAAAACAGAATAGTTTGGGAAAGAAGGGTGAAGACGTGCACTTACACTCTGACGGCTCCTTGGCAGCATGCTCCATCCCTCCTCCCTCCTCCTCTCCTTCCCTCTCTCCATGCGTCAGATATAAGTGTGCTGCAGGCAGGAAGCCGGAGTTATATCTGAATTCATGTCTTGATGAAACTACTGGCACAGTCATAGAGGCACACGGGGCTTATAGAGAGAGATACAGTAAGATCAGAAGCTGATAGCAACACAGACGCAACAAATCGGACACAAACGCTTCATCAGACAACTTTGATGAACTCAAGGGCAATGCTGGTCTTCAAGTCCTGTCTTGGAAAACTGGTAGGAGTAGACAGTGTGAAAGTTGTGTGTGGGGGATATTTGTGTGTTTTATTTTGGCGTTTTTTCTAGGGATTTTTGTCAACCTCAAATGTTTTACTTAAATTGGAAAAGGCTTGTTTGATCCTGCAGCTTTGTACGCGGAGACTTTGTTTTGGATGCATAAGTTAGTACGTTTATTTTTAATGTGAGTTTCACTGCTGTGTTTCACTCATTCATTTTCTCATTCGCATAATCATTGTAACACTACAGAGTAAACTTTGATTTCAAGAGCTGGGAGTCACTTTCTCCCTTTTTTAAATATCAAAGTAGAGTATAAACTGTCTTTTAATTATTCATTTAAGGGTGTTTTTATTTCCATTTAGTCTTTCAGTATAAAGGCTGTACATGGCAGTTCTTCGATGGGAAAACATATTTATTTAAATGCAAGATGACTTCTAATCTACTGGTTTAAGTGACTAAAATTGCACCGTATACTGTATTGCACCAGTCTTACGACAGCATGTGATTTGGAGCTGGTGGCATGCCATGAAAGGGTATTTGTCTCAGAAAAACTCCCAGGAATAAAACTGCAATACTTCCTTTGAATACACTCAAATAAAAGCAATGTGACTTAGTGTCATTTGGAAAAAGAATTTCCTAAGTGTTAATATAGAGCTTTGAATCTGCCTTGTTTAATATCTAATTGATGTAAAACCAGTCTAGTGCTTAGTTACTTGAATTATGTAGATTTTATTTTTATGTTTATTTGTTTGTGTGTTTAGAAACCAGACTCTAGAAGCTCTAGAGGGAGTCTGGACAGAGAAGACGGTGGACCTCAACCACCGGTAAGTTACTTTCTCCATCTGATTTCTCCATCCAGCTCACTGTTAGTTGGTGTTATTTATGCAGGCAGCGGGACAATAACAGTCATTCACACAGAAACATTTTGACAAGGAGTTCATATTTTTCCCCTTAACGAACTGTGCCTCACATCCTTCTAATTTTTACTGTCACCCTCATGACCATTTGCCACACATTAAAAAGGGAAGTTATTTTTCTTAACAGTTTGTGTTTTTAAGAGAGAAGGATGTCTGATAACGACAAATGTTGACGGAAGTCCACATTCTGGTTGGACTCACTGTGATTGGCTGTTTGTTTGGATTAGAGCTAGGGGGCACTGATCCAGGGACAGGAAGTAACCTGTCGGGGGCGGGGTCACCACAGAGGGGTCAATGAATTCCCACAATATCACCAGTTATTAATAGGGCACTGTTGCAAGAAAACAAGTCGCCATCTTTTTATCTTCTTTCTATCCCAGTGTTACTCCCAGTACCTCAGCATGCTGGCAGTCTGTAGTCTCTGCTAAAGACTATCCACACTCTTAAGAGCGTCAAAAGTACCATGAGAGGACAATATTGTGGATCTTGTCTTATCATGCAAGTCTTGCAGCTGCAGCTAAAAATATGAGTGCCACTTTAACTGGATGTAGTTTTCAATACTTAGTTTCTTACTTAACTTGCTTGCTTACTTTATAACGTACTTACTTGGAACACTGCTTTCTTTGTCTTCAAGCTTTACTGCATTAAAATAATCACTAGCTACAACCTCAGTATGATTGTGTTCAGACCTGCTACAACATCAGTGTTTGTAAAGGAAGACAAAAAAGACGTTTCGTAGCCTTCACTTAAGAGATTAGCAGTTATTTCTTTGAGCACTGTGGTGTAACTGAATGATTTGCAGTGACAGATGCACATTTTTCACTCAAAGATGTTTTTACTGAGCAAAACATAATGGTGATCATACCTTTTAACACAGATGGTATTAAAAGTAACTCCATCTCTTTCTTCCCTCCTGTAGTGTTGTTTCTTTTAGATCCTCAGTCATCAGTGTTTTGCCCTTCTGCGATTACGTTTTTTTCTCCTAAAACGAAATAGTTTTGTCGATCAGAGCTTTATTGTTACTTTATCCCGGAGTTGGAATCACAAGAGCTGAGAACACGGCTGTGTTTTTGATGCCAGCAAACGTTGTTTTGCCACGGGCCAGATATTTCTGTCTCTGTAATTCATCTCTCTGCTTGTCCTCCTCCCTTTGCATGGCTGTGGTTTGTGGTGGTAAATCTCCCTTTTGTGTGTGTGTGTGTGTGTGTGTGTGTGTGTGTGTGTGTGTGTGTGTGTGTGTGTGTGTGTGTGTGTGTGTGTGTGTGTGTGTGTGTGTGTGTGTGTGTGTGTGTGTGTGTGTGGTGTGTGTGTGTGTGTGTGTGTGTGTGTGTGTGTGTGTGTGTGTGTGTGTGTGTGTGTGTGTGTGTGTGTGTGTGTGTGTGTTGTGTGTGTGTGTGTGTGTGTGTGTGTGTGTGTGTGTGTGTGTGTGTGTGGTGTGTGTGTGTGTGTGTGTGTGTGTGTGTGTGTGTGTGTGTGTGTGTGTGTGTGTGTGTGTGTGTGTGTGTGTGTGTGTGTGTGTGTGTGTGTGTGTGTGTAATGCTGAATGCTGAATGCTGTAGTATTTTGGGGTGTTTGTGGTTGGCAGACCGCAACACTCTGAAATGATTTCTCACACAGAAAAAACAACAGATATTCAAGAGTAAATATATACCATGTCTGGCACCCATACAGAGTTATGTGGCATCATTGCTTGCTCACAAGCATCAAATCAAAAAGACATGCTGTGGGTTTTATCTGGTTTTGAAAGGGTAGCACTAACAAAAGAGGTACATTTTTTTCTTTCTCCTAGAATATTTTTGTTAACATAAGTAACACAGTGCTAGACCACACACTGCTGAGAACAGAAACAACTCCTCGACCGGAGATGAGGTTGTGGGTTTTACAAGAACAAGTTGAGATGCTGCGTCACGTGACAAGTACATTAAACTGGATTCTCTACATTTTTCACAACCCGCCTGTGGGTTTTTGCGTGTGAAGTTCTAAATTGCTATTTTATACTTTCTTCATATGTGTTAACCAAATGTTTTGTTGTTGTGTTTGTTTGTGCAGACGGGAAACCAGCACATATACCAGCCCGTTGGGAAAGCAGGTAATAGACTAGCCCAGGGCTATTCAATTAGTTTGGAATGGGGGCCGGTTTAGGAAAATGATCCAAAGCAAGGGGCCGGGAAAAAGATGGCTTGAAATATGAGCAATCGTATTAAGAGCTTCAGATACAGTAAATACTACAACAGCATAGTGGAGTGCATATATTGTGTTTCATTAAATCAAACAACATAGCCCCAAGGCCTTTATAGATCTAAATGGCAAGTTCAGAACTTAGTACATGTGAAGCTAATTTAACCATCAACATCATTTAATTTGATTTGATTTAGGTGAAATTATCTAATCATTCACGCAGAGATGCAATCAATGACAGGAGTTGTCACTACAGTAGCTAGTAGGTGGGTTCGAAACCCGAGCCCGCCGAAGTTGTCAGGCATTGTCTTCCCCTCTATATCTCAATGTAACACCCTCTCTGGAATAAAGGCACTCTGGCCCAAAAGAAAATCTTTAAAAAAAGAAAAAAAGTAGATTACTTTTTAACATTATACTTAAAGGGCCAGTAAATATCACCCCGGGGCCGGATTTGGCCCGCGGGCCGCCAATTGAATAGCCCTGATCTAGAGGAAGTGAATGGGCAACATTTTTTGATTATGAAGAAATAGTTGAAGGTGTTTAGTCTAGCAAAATCAGATTTTCAAATGTGAGGAATCACTAGTCACTAGGAATGTATTATTTGTGGTAAAAACAAAACTTTAACGACGTCACATTTTGTTTTCATAGACTTGACTATAAATGGATAATGAAAATGTTTTTCAGTTGGAGATCCAAATACCAGTTTGTACGAGTACGAACTCATACAGTAGCTGGATGTTCCCTCAGAAAGAGCTGCTTAAGAAAGTACTATTTGTCCAGTAGTGGTTTGGAGACTGTAAAACTGTGAGGAAGAATAATTTTCACTTTTATATGTCGTTTCCTGCAGAGCATGCAGCTCCCCCAAAGAAGCCCCCCCGACCCGGAGCCCAGAGCAGTCTGGCCTGTCTAAACACCGGAGACAGCTACAACGATGGAGTCAAGGTACAGTAACACACAGATCAGAGCACACATACATACTAATATAAAACACACCTCAAAGGAGAGCACGCACAGACAAGGATACATTTACTAAATATATGGTTTGCATGTTTTTAATGCTTTAATATTTTCCTTTTATCTTCTTTTCCTTTGGCTGCTACCTCCTCCTCCTCTTCCTCCTGCACTCTGCCTTACTGTCGGCCTCTAGCCCTGGCGGGTAAGCAGCACACTGTCTGTGTGTGTGACTGTGCGTCTCGTCTGCTAGTCTGTCATGCCCATTTGATTCCTCTTTCAATCAAATCTTTGATCTCTCTGTCCAACAGATTGTTGTTATCATATAAACACATAAACACATTTATCACCCAGTGCCAATTCTTGTGTAAATACCAATCAGGTTTCTTGTTTTACTGTTTTTTTAACTCTACCTAACATCCAAATCCAAATAGTTTTGCTTGTTGTCTTGTACTAATATGAAATTGTCCATTGTTTAACATTTTGAACAAAGGATGCACTTAGTATTTTGTTTTCTACGCCATGGTGAAATACTTTGTCAGAGTAGGATCCAAAATAGTAATATAAATGAAAGAGAGATCCCTCCTCCTCTGTTTTTTATTTTTTAAAGTTCCTTCCTTCTTGTAGCATGTCAAATCTTAATGTTGTACACAAGAATCGGATAGTAGTACTTTTTCAATTTGTATTTATTAGAATTGTATTTGAAGTAGAAGCTGGCCATTATGTGTGCAAGGTTCAGAGCTGCAGTGTTTTGGCAACAGGAGGTGTCTGAAACAGATAATGCAAAAGAGACATCCCTCTAAAGGGAAGAGGTAAAGGTAAACAAAGCATGTAGAAAAACCTGCGTTAAGGTAATAGACTTATTTTGGTTCACAGAATTTCTTTTAGCAGTGCTGAAAATCTAATTCAGTAGCAGTTCAAGCAATAGTATTTGTCTTCACAATTTGAAAGTAAACGGATCATTGGGTAGAGCAAGGTCAGGGTTAAATGGACTCATTAGTTACGTATATCTATACCAGTGTGCTACTGCCATCTAGTGGCAAAAACAGAGAATTACAAGTATTTTGTGTCATAGATCTACATCTAATATCTTCTCTAATAGTTCACCTATATTAGGGTTTGTTTTTTATTTTGAGCTGTTTATTTACTCAGATATTTAAGAAGTGTTTTGTCTTTCAATTTCTACCACCATATGTGCAGCAAGGTTAACCAAAGGCATGATTCATGTGTGTCTCTAAAATCATTCAGGATTTTTACATTTGTACAGACTCATATTTCTCATCATCATTGTCTCAACTTGTTATCTGTGTGTCGATGCCCTCACACAGACCTGTGGGTGTTTTTTTGAATCACTCCGCCTGTGACTCATTGCTTCCTTTGTGCTCTCCTGGTTCAGCTGCAGCCTCAAGAGATCAGCCCGCCCCCCACCGCCAACCTGGACCGCTCCAACGACAAAGTGTACGAGAACGTGACGGGATTGGTCAAAGCTGTGATCGAGATGTCGAGCAAGATCCAGCCAGCTCCTCCAGAGGAATACGTTCCTATGGTTAAGGTAGTCGAAGCCGTCAAGCTCTCATTTTCATATTCATCACTATTTCTCAGAGGGTCGCTGAATTTACAGTTTCACCCTCTTGAGCCGCAGACCTCTGCCTTAAAGATTTTAAAGTATTAACATATTGGTGCTTATTAATCATTTTTGACTCACCCGGTAACCAGACAACAGATCGGTCCTTTTAGCCTCACAAGAGGTTGCTTTCAGTTGTGGTATCTTTGCTTGTACTTAATTTATTTCTCCACCCTGGTTATCTCTATATGTGTAGGAAATATTACTTAAATTCTCATCTTAACCTGGTGTTTACTTAATCACTTAATCATATTTATTTTATATTTCTTCATATATATACAGTAAAAAGGTATATATTTTTTTTAACACCATGTGAGTTGATTCACTTCCTAATGTTCTGTTTCGAAGGTATCATTTTAAAGTACTACGGTCTGTGTGTGTGTTTCAGGATGTGGGTCTGGCGTTGAGGACACTGTTGGCCACAGTGGATGAGACTCTACCACAGCTTCCAGCCAGTACACACAGAGAGGTAATTACACACTCTTGTGTATTTTTGTAAAACGCTTGAGTAGTTTGGTATCATTTATATTGGAATAGTATCATTAAACCAGATTGATACTTAATGATCTGGTTTTCTTCTACAGATCGAGATGGCACAGAAGCTCCTGAACTCTGACTTGGCCGAGCTGATTGGGAAGATGAAGTTAGCCCAACAATATGTGATGACCAGGTAGCTTAACTAGTTACAATATTGTATTAGTAATGCCTCATTGCAGTGCTTAATGTTGACATCATGAAGTTGCTCCTAGTCTGCGCACTGGTGAAGCACACATTCCTGAGATGCCCTTTTTTATTGTTTTTTTAAATATATTTGTTTTAAGTCTTGTACATATTTATATTGCATTGTTTGAGATATCTGAAGTTTTTATATAACACAACCTCACTGTGTATATGACATTAAAACCTTTGAACCTTCAACCAGCCTGAGTTAAATGGGGGCAGAAACAGGGGGGAGAGACTATCCTCTATGTCAATGTACTAACAAGACACAAACTTTAAACTCAAGCAATGGTGCAAAAGCTTCAGAAGCTTCCAAAATAAGTATCTGGAATGGAGGCACTTTAATAAAAAGGAAACTCATTATGCTTTTAGAGGACATATTTTAGAGAAAACTGTATAAACAGTGGCTTTAATATTGTACTAGTCATGTCTCCCATTAGTTGTATCTGAATAAGTAATCTTTGTGTGTGTGTGTGTGTGTGTGTTCTTCTGCTCTGTCCCAGTCTGCAGCAGGACTATAAGAAGCAGATGTTGACAGCGGCTCACGCTCTTGCAGTTGACGCCAAGAACCTATTGGATGTCATTGACCAATCAAGGCTCAAAATGATGTCCCAGTCCCGCCCACACTAGCCCTATGACAGCTGAGCTGACCAACAGGACTTGGTCTATTATTTAAAAGAGAAAGCATCATTCTGGTAACTGTTATCAATGGAGAATTAGAGTTACGTCAAGTGAGAGTTATCGGAGCTGACTGCTTTATGTCAAAGGAGAACGGCTCTGATCTTTGTCCATGAAGAATCATTAGATGTTGTATCCTGTGTAAGCCGAGGTCTTCTCTCCACCACTGTGACTTTTGTAACACAAGAACAGTGCAAATCACTTCCTGAATCAGGGACCTGGCAGCTTCGCACTCTCTGGACTGTAATATAATGATGAGAGGAGGAAAAGCAAAAAGGAGAAGACTTTAGAATTATGAGACTGAGAAGAGCCTGATTCCTGGGGTTCAAAGACCACCAACAGAAACACTATCATGGGATCTATTTGGATCTGGAAATGTTGACACCTGGTGAATTAGTCTTCGTCGGATAACACTCAAAGCCATCAGACCCTGATCAGACTGCGTTTGATCTGCACCATATCTGCATGAGCCGTCAGCCAGCAGCCATTATCAGTACATGTGTGGATATCGTGTGTTGTGACCCCTGGATGTGACATTTTTCCTTTGTTGAAATACCTCCACATCGTCTTTGATTCTTCTGAACGGGCACTTCCAATCACATGTTCAGCTCCCGGTGCTTTGAGTGGATGCAACAAGGACATTCACAGTAAAGACAGCGAAGGCTTGGTTTGGAGAAGCAGCCTCCATCGCTCCTCCCGTTTCTCTCCTCCATCCACTCCCGTCTTCCCTCCGTCCCACCAGGTTTTATTTATAGACTCAGACATTGCAGAGGAGGAGACGGAGGGAGAGATGGGTATTGAGGACAGTTCTAGCGGCGGTCTGCTGCCTGAAGAAGAAAAAACACACTTTTATCTTCTTTTTTCTCTATTTCACTCACTTCCTTTTGACTTTTTGTTATCACTGTTCCTCTCTGTAGTGACGTCTTCCTCAGCTCCTCTCTGAGCCGGTTTTTAAAGACTCCAAAATGTGAAGAATCCAACTCTGTCTGTGTAAACACCGCAGTCAGGAAACACCCGCCTCGCACTCAATTTAGTTTACTCTTTTTATTAGCTGGCTCCATGTTTTACGTGTTCACAATCTTCTTCCTTTTTACTGAAAACTGTTTGTAACAAGCAGATATTCAATCCCAGCATTGACTCTGATGAGAGTTCAAACTGAAAAAAAAAAGAAGGTGGATTTTGAGGATTCACTCTGAGTGACTTAATACTTCCAATTTGTCCTGGAGGCAGAAAAGGACATCATGTCTCAGACTAGTCACTGGGTGTCTCATCTCGTTTCTTCCTCCTCATCGACAATCCCAATTTCATTCAGTTCATCAAACAAGACTGGTGTCATGCTGTCCCCTCACCCATTGGTGTCACAAAGTGAATTTACTGGGGACACAAATAAACCTCACAACTGGAACTTCTGTGCTTTGAGTTTCGAAGTTACTGTCAGGTGTAACTCTTAAAATATGTTCCTCTGAAAACAGTCCCCAGGGAAACACACACACACACACACACACACACACACACACACACACACACACACACACACACACACACACACACACAGTGGAGCCACATGACTGGAACTTGTCTTGCGGACACAAAACACTGAACTGAAAAAACAGCAGCCCACACGTCGTGTCTTTGTTAATAGTGACCCCACATGGAGTATGACATACTTCTATATGAAATATACTGGTGGCTGTACTGGTATAGCATGGTATACTGGTATGAAGAAGAGCATATTTGCACAGCACCAAAAAAAATATCGTACTTTTTTTTAACCCTATTTTACCCAGATTTGATCTCCAGGTTTAGGCAGCAATTACACTGTCAAATATCTGGGTGTTATAGGGGTTGAAAAAAAGGTTAAAAAAACTATCTATTTTATCTTGTCGTTGCGTAAATCTGCTCATGTTGGTATCTTGTAAGCTATACTGGTGTGAATCACTGGTGAATTGTACAGAACTAGTAAACACTGGTTTTTATTTTGTCTTCTGGGCTAAATCAGCCATCTTGTCAAATAGGAGGAGGAAAAAACAATGAAATAAAAAAAAAATTATGACGAAATTGAAGTCAGATTGTACACATTATTTTCCATTAAGAGGTTTATTTGAAAACGTTACATTTTAAGCTTTATATCTCCAGTAGATAAGCTATATATATGTTGTCTAATGTACATGTGGCCATTTGGAGAAGAGTCACTTTGATGAAGACCATTTTATTATTCTCATTTAAATGCATGTTCTTACTTGTAAGTTCTACAGTGGGTTACTTTAAGTTATTTGAGTTGCCTTCAAACCTTCAATTCTAGAAGTTTTCCACAGATTTAAATGAATTGTAAAACCTGAAAATTTCCTTCTCTGGTTTCGAAGTTGCAATTTTGTATCAGGAATAGGAATTATTTGAAGTCTTTTATTACCAAAAATTAGAATTTGGTAATCCCATGATTGCAGTATGGTTTTCAAAAGGGAGAATGAGGTCTTCCTAGAAAATTCTGCATATAAAATGTAAGGTTGCATATAGGCAAGACAAACTGCTGCATAGTTTATGACCCTCTGAATTCACTTTCGAGCTGTAGTTTTGTAAGAATAGTACAGCCTGAAATTCCTCAGATTTCAAAGGAAATATATAAGAGCCATATTGCATCATCTATGAAGGCTTTCAAATATATTAATCAGTATTCATAGGAAGGTCAGGATGTAATATATATGTTATACTTGTGAAGACAGTCTTAATAAGAAGCTTTGTGTGTTTAAAGCTCCAACTCCAACTAAAGAGCATACATTACATAAAATCACTATTGAGACATAGACATTTATAAAAATACTTTTCTATACAGAGCAGCAGTGTAACTCCCACATCGTCTGACAGCATTGGTACGACCCGCTGACTCAGTGTGACAGCAGTAATAAAGCAGCTGCAGTCAGCAGCAGCAGCAGGGCGGTGTGTGTGTGCATGGACTCTGCTCCGCTGAAGTTACAGAAGTTGAAAGTGTTGCAGCAGTTCACGGTGTTCCCGTTCCCGTTGGAGTCGACCGAGGCGGACCCGGCCGCTCCGTTGCAGGTCGCCTTACTGGCACACGACTTTGATATGGTTTTCTTAGTGCCTGAGACACAGCAGGTTATTGGAGTGAGTCATTATAGTTTCCCACATTTTGCACATGCTAAAGTTGAAAATATACCATAGACCAAAGCTGTAATTACAGCTGTAAAACAAACCCTACTCCAGATTTAGGTTCCATAACATATTTTACGTAATAACTGGATCCCAAAAATCTGCGGTTCTTTACATTCATTGACAGGATTATGACCAGAGTAATTTAGTTTTTCATTGTTACCTGAAATGTCGACGACAGTCATGCATATTTCCAATGGCGCCAAACATATCTGAGTGGTGTTGCTGCCGTTGCAATCTTCATTCGTCGGCGCAGCAGTGCACAAATAGCAAGAGAGTGACAGCCCTGCAGACATAGGACAACAGATAGACAGAAATATGAGATTTACAGTACACACCATGATATAGTACCGTACGTCTCTTGATAAATAAATAAAAACGTTATATAAAAGCATAAGGTCATGCTAACCGAAGTAAGCCAAGACAAGCAGTTTTAAAATGCCACGTTTTGACATGTATATATCAAGTTGCTGTTTGGTATGGTTGCTTATCACTGGTACAAGTTGCATATTCCTGAAATGTAATTATACTAGAGTCCAGGGGAAATCCTGATCTGTATAATTAGGTCTTGAACTTAATTTGTATGTTCATTCAGACAATCGTAGGTCATGATGCTTTATAGCCACAATTGTCTTCGGTTTCGTTTTTTCTGAGAATGTGACGATCTTAGTCAAGAGTTGTTAGGGTCTACTTGAACATATTTTGAGAATTGGTATGAAATATAATAATAGACAAGCATTTAATAAACGTAATAGTCTAGTCTTTGTGACAGGAATGCAGATATTACTTCATTTCCCCTTCTCTAACGGCGCCAGGATTTTTTTTGCTGCAGTAGCTTAGCAGTTGCTATATGACAGCACGGCGTTGCTACTAGTTAATTTTCTAAATAAATAAACAAACAATACCAGTGGGCCAAGCACGAGCCTGTTCATATTGTAGCGTTCACCGCTATTCAAGATCACAGATCACGAGCCTTCAATGTCGAAAACGTTCTCTTTATTTTCTGGTATTGACGGCCACAGCCACGCCTTACAGAACCAATCAATAGTATAACACTCATTATGACTTTTCCCCACACTCGAACACAACTCCTACCGTCTCGTACTCCCTCCACACACACCGGAAAACGCACACACACACCTGCACCTGGAAGGGGCGGTCTCTCCCTACTCCCACCAACAACATTGCCTAAATAACTTTACAAATGTACTAAACTGTGCACATCTGATAACTGAAATAACTATTAACTTGGACACGCTACAATATTATCATTAATATTTACATTAAAACATTCCTTTGACACTTATAACATTACTTTGCAAGGTAAGCACAACCAAAATAAGTTTGTAAAAGCAGAATTTGAACACTGTTTCTGTGCTCCTACAATATTTGTGTATAATACCATTACACCCTAAGCGTACAAGTACAATAGCGATCGTTCACTCTTTCAACTGGCATGCTGTGGCATTTAACCTCATCACCACACCGCAAGCACACACACACACACACACACACACACACACACACACACACACACACACACACACACACACACACACACACACACACAGGGTTGTCCGGCTGGACCGGCTCCGTTGGAGATCGCGGTCGTTTATGCTGACTTGTGAGAAATCTTTCCATTTTCGATCTGTGTTCACATACTGAGAATTATAACAACATTAACCAAGTAACAGTTCGCGCTTTAACTTACGACCCCTGATAGATCTCGCGAGAATGTGTATACATATATATAGATACATTTTCATAACAAAACAATGGGGTTGCTAAGCCGTTGCTAGGCCAATTGTTGGAGTTGCTATAGCAACTCAAAGCTACCCCCTGGCGCCGCCCCCAAAATAAGGCTCCTGTTGTCTGCTCGTGGAAAAAAGCCCAAATTGAATATGCACAATGACAGAATGGGACTGCTAGACATGTTCACTCT